AAAAGGATGTGGGGGTGGGGGGGGGGGGGGGGGGATCTATTTTTCATCTCTTGATCCTGCACTGCCTCAAACTAACAGAAAGGAAAACAGGCATAATATAGCTAAAGAAAGTTCGCCTTTTGTTCTCATTGTGGAATGCATAAAAAAGCAAGCTGTAACCATCCCATTAGTGTGCACTGCATCTGAACTGTGCCTTTGACCCACACTTGGTCTACAAATCTTGTTGTGAACAGATACCATGGGAAATCACCAGGAGAGAACAAAGACCACACTAAGAACATACAAATGTCAAGTTTAAGATCAGTGGAATACCAAGACCAACTTTGAATACTTCCCTTCCAGAATAGCTGAAATTTGCCATGGAATTTCTGTGTCACAACAAAAAAATTTAGAAGCAGCAATACAGAAATTATGCAAAACCAAATCATACCAGGTTCATAGAGGAAGGGTAAATGTTTTATTACACATAGTACTAGTGACAAGAAAAGAAACAGAGGCAGATGAGTTCAGTATGAATAACTAGGAAAAGTCCACAACAAAACCTATCCATGCAGATGTCATCTTTTCAACTATGATATGACACAGCTAAACGCTGGAGAGGGAGACGGATCACACTCTAAGGGGCCAAAAGTAGGCAGTGCAGACTGGGTTTGAGAAAGTACTCTGAATATAAACCAGTGCCTACTAATTCTTGTATGTCACGGTATTGTCATTCTTGAAAAAAACTAGTGAAAAGTACAGAATATGGTTGTAAAAAGTAATTAATACTTTTGTTTAATTTTTCAATTCTCGCTTTTCTTGGAGTTGTCAGTTACATTAAGGACTGAGAAACATGGGAAGTGCACACCCAGGCTGCACTGCCCCAGTGATACCAGTGACTAGAGTTGGGGAGATAAGGAGGTGCACATCCAAGCTACCTTACCCGTTGCACCAGATGTTCCAAATTAACTCCATGTCACCAGGGGATAAAGGTGGGAGTGAGGCTGGTGCACAGCCAAATAGGGTAGGACTTTTACAGCTGTGTAAGTCTCACTGCCCACTGGATAACATACAACTGTTCATATACTCTTCAAAAGGCAGGAAGGGAAAGCTGTAAGGACCTTGTGCCACGAGGGAAGGAGAGAAGGGAAGCTGTAAAGTCCTGTATCATAATTGAGAATAGGAAGAGAGGGAACAGGAGAGCACCTAGGCAAGGTACTGTCTCCCCACTTCACAGTCAGTAAGTTGCCTTGTCTTTAAGTAAAGTACTCCTTCACAGTCCTTCCAATGGGGAAAATTCTCCTGAGAGGACTGAGTTAGGAAGAGTAAAAAGAGTGGGTTTGGATTTACACTCAGAAAGTCAAAGCACTACCGCTGCAGAATACAAAGAAAAAAGAAGAACAACAAAAAGAAAAAAAGAAAAAAAGAACCAAGCCTCAAATTAAGAGATTAGCAGAAGCACTTTTCTTCTAACATTAAAAGTTATTCCTGATGCTGTTGAACTAAGTGGATGAAGGGAGTAAATTATTAAGCACCATCCTGCAGCATTTGGTCCTGTGAATGAAAATATGGCGCTAGCATAGAATGAGTTTAGGGGACATCACTTTACCTGCTGGAGAATGAAGGTTTTCATAGCAGCGGCGGTGAAGGGGCCACAAGAAAGTAAAGCACAAGTACACAGCAGTAACTCAAATTCCAGAGGGAAGAGCCTTACATTTCCTCACTTACTTAAATCTCCACTTCCATTTGTGGGCAACAATTCCTGAACTTCTGCTTGCATCCTGCTCTGAAATCACAATTCCAACTTTCATGCTGCCATCTAAACCCAGCATTAACACAAACAGACCTTTAATTTCCTGCTGCGGTATCACTAAACTTGGAGCACTCATGCTTGGCAAAATCAAATAAACGAATCTTGCATTGAAGTATTTCCCACCAGACTGGAGTATGCATGCTTACCACACTCTACTTTTCTAAGAGGAGGTAGTGCTTCAGTATAGTCCTACTATAACAAATCTGATTGCAAGGTTCACAATGTTTAACACAGCTAAATAACTTCATTCTTAACAAGTCCACGCAAGTTTTTGGTGAATGTGATTAGTTTACTATTAACAAATTAACATGTTAATTTCTCTTGAACAGGACAGATTAGCATATCTTCTCATCTTTATAACAATTAAAAAAGTAGCTCTGAGGTAGTCTCTCATCTCTGCACAAGAAGAAAGCTTAGCTCCCCTGCAACATCTTTCTTGAAGAAACTTTATTAGCTGGATGGGCAAATTGTAAATCTCATTTGGTACATTTAAATTGGTTCTTGTCTGTGCCCTCTATTTTGGGAGGAGGGTATTTGTAATTTAATTGGTTTAATTTCTCAGTTTTTGCTTGTAGTGTCCAACTCCCAGTTTATTTTTAATTACTTCTTAAAATTACCCTTTCATAAGTTCTATATCACAATTCTAGCTTTTGCAGTAGGCCCTTAATTACAAAATTTTCAGTAAAAAAAGTTCTTTTTCTTACAGTTATGCCAGTCATTATTTAGGGGCTAAATGCTGTATTACAGAGTCATCAATAGAAGTTGACTGGAAATAACTAAGTGAAAGACTGTCTTTCTTCTTGTGCAATTTAAACAAACTATTAAAAGAAATACTTTGAGTTAAAACCTCTCAAAAAATGATGCAAACTTCATTTCTGATCGAAGTAATGTCTTTTAAGTTAAAGATTTCAGAAGCTGAAGCCATTCTTTAAGCTAATTTTATGGCTTCTTAACTTTCATCTTTGTAAAACTCATCAATAAGTTGATGAGTTTACAGCCTTAAGCAATTTCTGTAAGTAGTAAAATGAATCATGCCCGTCAGGGTGAAAACGTGGTATCAAAGGAATATGCAACCATAAAGTGCAGACAACTTCTGAACATCTAAACTATTAGAAATTTTTCAGGGTTTAAATACACTGATCTGATCATTTGAACCATGAACAACATTTTCAGAAAATGGGAAAAAATTGTTCACAAATTCAAATCCCAGACTTCTGGGAGATTAGTTTATGGCAAACAACAAGCAAACTGCAATAGTCAGAAAGGCTTTGTCATTTGAATACCTTATACCTTTGTATCACCGAAAGGAGACAACACATTATTATGGACAAAGACATTAATTTCAGCAATCTCATATTAACTGTCTTTTATATTCTAAGAGACAATCCCTCAGCCAGAACATTCTATTCAGAGCACCAACGAACAATGAGAGTCTTGGTAAAGGGAGCTGCTGATTTAGATTTTGATTAACGGCCAAAGTATGGATGCTGATCTACTACGGAAAGAATGTTGTAAATTTTATCTTCTTTTTAAATGTTTCATACATACACTTAAGACCTAGACAAATGTCTCACAGATGGGTGGAAGAATAAACCAATATGGGTTTGGGGACTATTTCAAGAGAAGTATGTGGATCATTCTTCTGGAGACCTGCATCTGAAGTCACTAAGTATAGTGTGACTGACAGTAACACTGAATAGTAACCCAGAATTTTCCCCAAACTACACTGTAGGCAGATTATATGTAATAGCAATAACTGACCAAAATAGCACAAATTCTCTATTCTACTTAACCTTTACTTTTCCACTCTTTACCAGTCATGCTCTGAAACAAAAACCACAGGATAAAGTGCAACCTGACAAAACATTATCTGCTCCATACAACAAAAATGAAATTCCACATAGAGCAAAGAGGAAACTTTGCAATTAACAGTAATTCTTTGTAATGAAAGCATAGTTTGTTGAGAAAGATCAGCTATAAGTCCTGCTTAAAAATGTGGCTTTTCAGGTGAAAAAGGAACATACCAAAGAAAATTCCTACACACATCCAAGTTTAACTGTTGTTTTGTTTGTTTCAGAAGACTCAGAACATCTTCTTTGTCTATTAACAAAAAGCACCTAGGCCACAAATCTTAATACGATGAAAATTAATGTGTAAATTTTTATGTTAAGTCACCCATCTCTCAGTTAGGCAACTTCTCACGTGCAATCTACATTTATCTCCCATCTTTGAAACTGCAGTGCAACTCTGAATCTGAAGACTGGAAATTTGAGTTACTGCCATGTGAGTACAGACCTAATATCAAAATAATGTAATTACCAAATTCCTCCAGGACAAAGACTCCTCGCACAGTATTGCACTTTTTAATGTGATTCAGCTCTATGAAAACCTACAAAAACAGGAGGAAAAGTAACATAAAATTAGTCAGGTTTGTTATTTTTAAACTAAAAACCAAAATTAAACAAAATCATCATCACAGCGGATACAACCTGAAGTGTTGTAATATACACTACCGGTTCATTTACAGTTTAATATATAAATAAAGGGTGAAATAAATATTCAAAAGACAAACTTGCCACAATGCTAGAAATCAACAAATAACTTAAAAGCGCTAAGAAGCGAAGACAGCAGAAGATGAAGTACCTTCCGCTCCTTGCAGGAGGAGAAAGCATGGAAGAGAAACGAAGGAGTTAGTAACTCTGACATATCCAACATTGCTACCCCTTCAGGCACTCAAATGAGTTATTGCAAAAAGAATACCAACACACCTGAAATATAACAGAAAAGGGGGACGAGAAAAAAGCTGGCTCCCAAATTTGGCACGATTTGTAACCTCTGATCCATCCCAGTTAGTTTCTGCCCCTCCATGCATCCTCCTCCAGCACAGAGGGCAGGTAAGGGGCACTATACTTCCCACCCTGACACAGATCCTTCTAACCTATCCAGTAGTCGAATTTAATCCAATGAGGAACAACTACTCTTCCTTCTCCCTGAGAGCCTTGCCGTTTAGGACTTTACTAGGGTTTATGAGACATAATCTGCATACTTACTCTTGGAACTGTCTCCTTTAACAGTCACTAGCAGTTTTCTGCTTAAAGCAGGATGGGAGAGTTTGGACCCTTCTCTATTTTCTCACTTCACATTATGGCTGCTGCCAGCTGAGCAGTCACTTACAAAACAAACCTGCTTTAAACTCATGTTTTACATACGTGAACCCCAGAAGACAAAACAGTTGAACTACATGACTAGGTTTTTCAGTCCAGAACCAAGATGCCAAGACTGCATAAATAAACAAGTTCTCTGAGCACAAGGAGTTTGTTCAATATCCAATCTATTTCAAGATACAAAACAGCCCCTTCTTATATGCACATCTCCAAAAGAGTCAGAGTGAGTACACAGACAGAAGAATCTGTAGAAAGTGCTATAAGGAATCAATTCCATATTCCAGTTTCTAACATACTTGCTTTTTCAAGGCAAGAGAAACACTAAGAATAACATTGTCCTAGCATTCAGAGTCAGTCTATGTCCAATACCTTAGAGAGACCCTTGCAGGACTGTATTCCAGTAGTCTGGATTGATACTTTCAGTGCCTATACACTTATGACACCATGATCTCAGGACCTTTTTTTTAAAAATGTTACTGGAGAAACTTCATTGTCTTGGAAAGAAGGGAAAGGAAATCTCTGCAACCCTTTTGAATCCAATACTAGCAACATCCTTGTAATCATAGATGATATGCCACCCAAGAAAGGCAAAGGAGTCAACACCAGAAATCGTTGTGTTTTTTTTAAGAAACAGGCTTATCTGTATCAATAGAGGTCAGTAAATGCACCATACATCTGAGAGAAATCGGGTTGATTTTCAAGTTAAAGGGGTTTTATTATTTTTTTTATTAGCAGAGACCTAAAACAGACCCAGGATATTTTTTGCTCAATATAAAAAACTAAACTTCCACTTACTTAATCAGAAAATCTGAAGCTTGCTTTCTGCTTACATTCAAGCACTCAGGGAAAGGAGACTTAATCCCATCTTTTTTGTTTGCCTGTCTTCACCGATGTTCTATGTCAGTTTAGTTGGTCGAAAACATTTTATTTTTTGAGGAATAGTTACAGAGTAAACAAGTCAATAACAGAACACTTTCTTTATTGCACTTAGCTTCCTTTTTCTGTAATATTTTCTGTGAAATGTTTTTGCTAGTAGTCTAATGTACAAAATTCAGAAAGTCAATAGAAAGGCTCAGGTGAAACATTTGTTGTTTTATCTGGTAACAGTAAAGCTGCCTAAAAGACTTGACTGCCCCATGTGCTCATGATCTGAGTATAATGTTAAGGAGTGCTGCATTTCCACAAGAATTATGAATGAGATAAGAATTTATCGAGTTTGTCACAATTACAGTAAGTTATCAGTTTTCAGAAGACATATGAGTTGATGGGCAATTTCTTGTTATATTGTTTAAGGGACAGAGATGCTCTCCTCTCACTCAATCAGAAAACAAGCGTAAAGGAAGTAACAGTTACTTACCCTAGGGAAAAACTGTGGTTCTTCAAGACAGAGCATTCAGTGTGGATCCTACTGTAGATGGGCATGTGCCTGCTGCATTTTATTAAACTTCCATCTATTTTTGACACAGATGAATTCATAATGGGGACAGAGTTACTGAGGCCCAATATTATAACATAATTTGTAGATGCAAACTCAGAATAGTCTGCCAATGCCACAGGTACACTTGATTCCTCCCTATTCCAAAGGACTTCCTCTGACCTGCTAGGCACAGATAGACTTTAACATTCTTTCTTCTTAAACTTATGGGCGCTGCCAGCATGGTGAGACCATTTGTGAACAGTAAAGACAACTATCGTGTCAATAACAGGTTGGCCCACCATGCATCCAAGACATTTCCTGAGGAATTCATAAGGCGGTAAGAACATATACACGCTGCAAATCAACGGCTTTCAAAAACAGTTTCATGAAAGCAAGCACCATTCTAACACTGAAGCAGTATGTTCAGCCTTCTCAGGTAGGACAGAATAGACTCCATTTATCTTTTTATTTATAAAAGGTATGTTCTTCCTACGTTCTAAATGAATTATTTCTATGGTGTCCAACCAAGCAGAGCAACAGAAATCCCTTCTTTTAGTAAGCTTCATTGCTGAAAAGAGTACTTGGAAAGAGGGTCAAGAACAGGGCCTGTATATGGAGTAAGAAAAGGAAGATGAAGAGAAAGCTGTGCCTGATGAGGTCCTGTAGGCATTTGTTGGTTAGTATCCCCATCCAAATTCAATAGAAACAGAAAAAGCCATTTTCAACACAGAGAAACAGCTATAGGATCCTGGTTTTAATCATGCTCATATACATATTCTGAAATCAACTGCCTTAGGGAGAAATTCATATAATTTATATGAAAATTGGAAAGGAAAATTCATCTAGAACAGCAGACCTTTTATTAAGAAAGCAGGCTGGTTGATGAGTTTTAGAATAAGAATGCAAACATCCTTTAGCTCCACAGATTATGAAATTGGAGGGGATTTTTTTTGTATGGTGCAACTAGTAGGAGTCCTTTATGTAACTGCTACAGTTGTCCATTCTACACAGACCCTCAAATGGTAGACTTTTGATATCTGTTTAGACACTTTGCTTTGAGAAGGAAAACAAGAATATGTCTTAGGTCCACTAAATGGTACTGAATGCCCTTGCCAGCTGGCAGTGTAAATCTAACAGACCAAGAATTAAACATATCAAATAAATGAAGTATATTTTCCAGAACTGTACTTGTTTCAATATCCAACTTAAGTAATGGAAACTGATCTGGCTACAGGCTCATTGGAAAGGTGATGAAGAGGAGGAATAATCTTTCAGGTGGGGGAGACAGCTGGCACACTTTCTGGGTCTGACCTGCACAGACTGTCTTCCAGAAAAGATGTAGTAATTTTCACCACGGACAGCAAATTAGAACACCATTCTCTGTAAGGAAAGGTATGATAAAGCTAGTACTCTAGGAGTGCTGGTGGTAGCACAGGACTCAGTTATCTGTGGTATGAAATTCAACTGGTAATGGTCCTGACAGTTGTATAGTAACTATCAGTACTAGGTTTCCCTAAGGTTTCTTTCAGAATGTCATTCCAGTCTTTCAGGGAAAAAAAAAAAAGGCTTTGACTTTAAGGACAAGGGTATGTTCTAGGATTTGGAGTTTTTCTTTTGGACAGATACATGTGTGCTTACTATGTACTTAACACTGAGTGTCTTTGTCTTGTGAAGATGCCTGTTACACTTAAGAAACCATCATGATGATGATGTGGCTACCTTCTTATATATCTTTTCTCACTGCAAATGCATATATGCCTGGATGTTCTGTTCAAGAGATGAGCAGTCTGAGCTCAGCATCTTTTTTGACTTCTGGCAGAAGAAAAATGAGAAGCAAACAGAACATTCCCTATGGTGTGTCCTTACCTTAGGACAAAGTAATTTCTATTACGTCCGTCTATAATGATATCAAACTGTTGCTTCAAGAGCAGCGTTTAATTTTCAAAGGCTTTAGACGTGCCATTTCCAGTAACTATGAAAATTCATTCTGTACTACTGATGAGTTCCTCCTGCAGTTCTTCATATTTCGGCATATCCAATAAAAAGTTAAAACCTATAACTAAGTCATACAGGTAGACTGTTCCATCACAGAGTAGGTTTGAAATACTACAGCAGGTCAGCTGTAGTCCGGGTTCTACCCTGGTAATAGACAGGAAGAAAACTGAAGGAGGTTCACAACTCTCCACTCCTTATACTGGCACATACAAACTCAAGAGAGGCACATGGTGCTGCTGTGACCTTGGGAGAAGTATTAAAGATTCTGAGCATGTGTGTTTGAGATGCACATGCACTTCCAGTGGGATCTACACTGATGTATCCTCAAAGAAGAATAAAGCTTGTGTGGGGAGAAAAGTCTAGTCAGGAAGAAAGGAAAAAAAAACTCCACAGAGGACTGACAGAAGCTTTTCTTTCTCTCTCTCTCTCTCTCTCTCTCACACACACACACACACTTTGTCTCTCTCTCTCCCCCCTAAAAATCGATTCTATCGTCTAGCATAGCATGCATTTAAGATCATATGCAAAACAAAAAAACACAAAGCAAAATAAAAAACAAGGATAAAAGGAAGCAACAGAAACAACATCCAGAGAAAGGAAGAAATGACAATTCTAGTTGTGTTTCCTCTATGCCCAAGAGATCTGCTATTCGGAAGGAAAAAAAAAAAAATCAGTAATTTTTTCTTATTTTTGTGAATAACAGCAAGAGCCACTTTCCCATTTTATTTTCATACTAAATTCTACAGATGGTTTCTCAAATTTTAAAACAAGACAGATTAAATATGATGCAGAAGGTTGCCCTCTGTACCTGCAATATTCAAACACTATATCTTTAAGGTTGACTGCGTATGCCATCAGGATATGTTCACAGTGTGATGCATTATGGCAGTTTAGATTACTATTGATCACTTTTTCTGTCCCTTAATATACTGGCTACCATTTGTTTTGTGCTTAGACCATTCAGACCACCAGAAACAAGAAGTTGAAACCTGTATCAATGTTTTTCTTCCATTGATTATAGTTTTCCTGAGGATATTTAATTTCAGTACATTTTTACATATATACTCATATATATATATATGTGCATGTGTGTTTGTGTGCAAATATACATACGCTTTTTTACCCCCATCACGCTATCCCTTGTCCTTGTTGATACTCTGGGAAGAGGAAACACATATACAGGCGTGCTGCAAAAAGCTTCATGCTCACAGTGTTCTCACGGATTTTCCTCATACCTGACTGTGCATAAATTTCAGGTTAATGCCTTCCAGTGTGACCTGAAGAAGACCTCCTTCACCAGTTTTCATATCCTGCACAGGGAACTCACCACCCAACTCAGGGCCTGTGATATGTTAATTAAAAAAAAAAAAAAAATCAAAGGAAAACAAACAAACAAAAATATCCAGAGAGAGAAAGAGAGAGAGAGAAAGAACAGAAAGCAGTCAGCCAAGTCATGATATGTAGAAGGGGAATATAAAACAATAAAAACATAATTTCCATCTGATGTGCATAGCAAGAGAACACTACTAAGAATAGTAGGCAGCACTTCAGTAGAGTCCACTCACTAATGACAGCCTTCTGAGAACCACTAGACTTTTAAGTATCATAACAAATTTCATCCTGGTTACATGAAGGGACATAGATGTCAGCTCAGTCTGTATTTATTGTAGTTCATATTGGGGTTTTGTTTGTTTGTTTTAAATGACACATTTCATTTCTGCATGGTAAGACTGCAATTACATAACACCACAGACAGCACAGACTTAAGTACAAACACATAAGCAAGTACAAACTAGGCTTGCATTTGTGAGCTTGATGATTTTTGTATGGCATTGTTTTATGCTTTCAACAATGAAAAAGTCAACATGGTTACAACAATGACAATTTAATAGAGGACATTAATAGATGACAGTCTAGGCATTTTCATCTAGTTTCTTTTACATCATTCACTTCAGCTAGAAAATGCTTTCTTATAATGATTTTTTTAAAAAATCATCATTTGTGCAGAACCACTGAACTCTGGAGAATGGCTTTCAAACACATTTTTAATACTACATTATTGCCCAAGTCTTAAAATAGCTTCCAAAGATACTTTTGCCTCCTCTACCCTCAGTGAAAGTCCAGTCCTTCCTCCCGCTCCTCAAATTAAACTGGACTAATGGTAGGAGGAAGAAAACAGTGGCTCTTCCAAGCTCCAACAGCTAGCTGAGAGTTGAGCACTTAGGATGCTAGACTTAAACGCAAGTCATTTTCTCAGTCATGCTGATGCCAGTTATGAGTATAAAATGTAGACCCCTTAGATTTGGCATTAAGACACACCTAAAATAGGCTTGTACCTCAAAGCATGGCTCCCAGAGTCCCAGCATCCACTTGAAAAAAAAGAAATAGTTGCAACAAAAATCAAACTTGAAAACACGAAACCAGAGTGATGTTACCCTGAACCTGCAAACAGACTCCAACAAGGGAGAAACAACCATCTTATGAAGGTATAAAAAAAGCCACCTTCATGTTTGTTACCCAGGTACATACAGCACCTGCTGCTCTCTGGGGACTAAGAAAAATGGAAAATTGCCTTCCCAAGAACTAATCTCCCAAAACTGCAAATCCACTTTTCTAGTTTTTTTGACTCAACAGGAAAAGGAAAGTGGTGTTTGCCAAGAAAAGTGTCACCGGTATAATTACACTATCCTGTACCAGATGACGATGCTAAACTAAGAAGAATGTCAACACTGGAGAAGTTGTACTGATATAAGGACATTGGGTTAACTGCACCTTTTGACTTGCACCAGTATGAGACTTTCTGATATAGAAAAGGTTTCTGCATTGAAGGTCTGCAGAAAGCTGCAGATTCATCACTGCAGATTCACTAAGACAAACAAGCATATTTATTAGCCTCCATTCTCAACACAAAGTGGACAACATAGTTCTATGTCTCAATCAGGAATATAAGGAGTAGCTAGCCAACGGTGAAGAGAAAGTGAAGCTGAAGTTTCATAGTCTTTTCTTAGTTATCATTTTACTGGCAGCTAGTCCTCCTTAAATGCCACTCTTCTTTATACAGGTGTTTTGTTTATGTTTGTATTTAGAGTGAGGTATCTGGGGGCAAGCTAATGATAACACCAAGTCTGCTACATACACACGGATGTACAAAGCTACCCTCAGATTTCCAAGTAAAAGGAGATTATGTTCAAAGAAGTTATTAATAAAAAAAATTTGTTGATTGCAGATTAAACAACAAATGTTCCCAACAAGCAAAATCTTGTACCTGGTTTAATGCTTTGTTGTCTTGCTGCTGCTCGCTCCATGCTGTCTTTTACACAGTAGTATAATTCCCGACACTAACATATAAAAGAAGAGTAATACGATGTTATTTTTCCAAATTACTAGGGGAAAAGAACAGCAAGATTCTAAGATTCTACCAAAAAAACAAGCCCCATGTGGTGCATAACAACAAAAAGCCTATAGAAGTTCAACCACAGCTAATTACTAGATGGTATTTATATTTATTTTTCAAGTTGACAGAGAAACTATATGATACCATTTCATAGCACAAGCTAGTGAAGAGTTCATGGCTTGGCACATGCTCATGAGCAATCTAACCAAGTTTACTCAGTTTCCTAGTGTAGAAAAAGCCTCAAAACAATATCACCATCTCTCCCTTTCTTTCGGCTTCCAGCAATCAATGTTAATGGTCATGCCCATATGATCTACCTTTTTGATATTCATATCAACTTCCTTATGCCATATTCTTCTATTCATCTTCCTCCAACTGCCCTCTCTAATATCAAATAATGTTAAGCCATAAACTCAGAGTAAAATTTAAGAAAATTTTCTATCTGAAGCCCAAGATACATGCAATTAGCTTTCCAAGTAACTTCTGTAGCACACTGCTTTTGTCCTCCTTCCCTTTGTATTCACACCTGCATTATGACGACCTGGTCTATGTAAAATGAAATTTTTGAAGCAGAAATCTAATCCCTTTATATATCTCAAAGATAATAACCTTTCAATATATTACTTGCATTTACAAATCTTTACATTTTGTTTCCTGGTCATTGTGTAGGAGTTACTGGAGTTCTAAGAGTTACTGGAGTTTTCCTAGTAGGTTAAACCTATTTCTTTATATTTGCAATTAATCATAAGGAGAAGAAAAGGGCTTTCATATTAGCAGAGAATGTAGGCATATATGAAATAAAAATCAAACATGGGCTTATGGAGAAAAATTTTTATCTATTTTGTCAGTTTGGGTTTGCCATTAAAAATGACACAATCAACTCAATTACTAAGACATAGTTTTATTTAGCTTTTTCCCCATGAATCTACCACAATATTTTTACTACCTTTATAAAGCCTGCAAGATAATGCAACATTTAGTAATACTGATGCTTTCCTTCTTCTATCCAAAAAACCAAGTAAAAACTACACATGTAATTTCCTAAGTTACATCCTGCTGTACTACTGTCTTCAAGCAAATAACAAGGCATAATGCCAGCTTCAGATGTCAGTGCTGTTAAACAGCCATTGCAGTTCAGTAACCAGTGCTGGAGAGAGAATGCTATTTTTTGATTAAACACGGAATGTGACACCCAAGGATTTGTTTGTTCTATGCAGTTTTCCCTCAGCATTGTGTGTATTAAACAAGATGCATACCTTCTTTGTGTAGAACTTGTTCAGTTGTGTCTCCTGACCATTCCTCCGCCAGAGGCACAGCACTTTTGTTTTGGGACAGTAAGTCATGTTGATGAGTTTCTCATACCACCAACGTTCATACACAGTTCCAATGTTGCTTCTCAGCACAATGCAATCATCACATACCTGGGAGCACAAAATATTACATAAGATTTCTAATATTATTTATTGAATGCTACTCGTTGCATTAATATTATTCTTGTCTCTACCTCCATGAAAAATATGTCTCCTGTTGTGTCTGTCCCAGCATGTACTACAAAAGTCTGCTTCTTGATGTGGCGGCTGCCACTGGGTCTCACAGGGAGTTCCCGTCCATTCTAGACAAAAAAAAAAAAATGCAATCATTAATGAACTTTGAAACCAATTTTTCCTGATCTATTGGAAAAAAACCCATTAGGTGACACTAGGAGCGTTTTCAACAAATGAAAGAAAAAAGTATTTTTAACACAGCTGATCGGAGGCAATTTTGGACAAAGCCTTAAGCAAGATACTCTAGTTTCAACAAGTGTGACTACGAGAGCTATCACAGCATACAACAACATTCACGCTGGTACCATACTCAGTATAAGATAGTGAGGTGTCTGGGTTCCAGTAACATTGCAGTAAACTGGTCTGCTTTTTCCCAATTAATTGTAAGAGAATTTTGTGTCCTTTCTGTGCATGAAGCTAAGTTCCAAATGTAAAAATGCTTTGAAAAATTAGCTTTCAAAGGACCTAACTTGCATCCACCCCGGTGACGGTTGTGTTAAAAGCTGGCTAGTTTTGTTAACTTAAGTGTTAGCCTATATTCTTAATGAGCATTACAGGACGTAAGGTTTATTCTGCATGGCAGCTGATAGCGGAAACAGTTTTGTATAGAAACTGATTGCTACCAGTCTTATAACGACCTGGAAACCGATGGCAAACTAAACACTTGTTACAGTCATAGTAAGAATAAAGGTTCCCGCAAGTGATATTAAGAAGACATTAGGGTTGCATAGAACTGTGGTACTGAAGTGTCGTGTATATGTATTTGTACTGCAGTTCTAATTGATAACTGCATAACATTATAATATTATAAACAGGGTCATACAATCACAGTCTTTATTCTATACATGTGAAGGCAATGTTTAATAATTCAATTTAATTATTTTTAATATTTTTAAATCAGTGTTGCAGAGCATTTATAGAAGAATTTTCAGACAATTTTTTTCCTCTGCTGTAGCTCCCACAGGTACATCACTCATCACTGTTTTACTTACCAGATTGGCAAGTTTGTCTAGAATATCATTTATTTGCTGGCTGTGCACCAATCCAATATGCGATTTTCCCATTAGACGACGCACCTTTTTCCTAATATCATTCTTGTTCACCTAGAAAACAGATATAAATACAGTTACATACTCTCCTCTATTCACAGGCGGCATCTCCTGTCTCCCAAAATCAACATATCTTGGTTTCCATTGCTAAGACAGCAAAACAACTGATCTCCAGCTCAGTCATGCTAGGGCCTCTTTAGCCCAGGAATACAAGCAGAAGTTGCACATACACCACTTCCCAGCTACTGGGCAAGTGATACTGTGCACAACAGATTTCCTGCCTACTCTTGCACAACAGAGCAGTGATTCCACTACCCTCCGCTTCCAACTACTGACATCAGTTTGGTATTCTCAGTTCTCCATGTTGCCACTTATGTGATGGGTCTCATCTGCCAGGCTAGCTTCTCCACCTCTTCCTCTGCAAAGAGTTGGTTTAGTCAACTGTGGAGCCCTCAACACAAGAAATATTAACACAAAGGCATGATATCTTTCAGGATTCTCACTCTTTCATGATCTGTATCCTGGTCACTAGGCCAGGGGTCTAACAAACATTTCCAGATAGTCGTCAAACAGCAGCAGGTTCCTCCTGAAGATGAACTACAGAGAAGCTCAGAAGCAAAATGGCCGCAGGTGCCATTTCAAAAGGCTATTATGAATGCCTGCCATTGATACTAAAGGCTTCAAGACGGTACACTCATGCTTGAGCACCAACTTCAAGCTAGATTGGAGATTCTTTTTAAACGTATTGTGATTATGACCTTAGTGCTATGGAGCATACAAAACAAACTCGACCTGCTTCCTTCCTTTGACAAGAATTCTTTGCACTTGAAAGAAAGCATTGTATTTTTCAAGAATTTTTTTAGGTAAAAAATACTAGGCTCTGCTATCCCAAAACAAGAATATAAATTAAAATACCAAGGTGTTGGGTTTGGAGGATTATGCTTCCCTTGATAGCTCAGAATAATTTACCTCTCTAGTAATAGAAGGCCTTACAACTTTGCAGTTTCTACTAGAAGCTGCCCTAAGATGAGATACCTTGGTACAGTCTTTAGTCTCTTAAAGCCTTCACTCTAACTGCTTGAAAAAAATCCTATATACAAATAATATATACCAAATTCTAGATCCACCACCTTTTATCCCCAAACTGATAATCAGGGCAGAAAAAAAGTAACCACAACAATAACGAAAAAAACCCAACACCCCACAACAACCCTTCTTTTGCCCAGTCCTTCATCCCATCCTCACTCTTGAGCATCTCTGAAGATGCAATGAAAGAAACAATATTTTTATCACAACTCTCAGATCCCCTGTATTCCCTTTTCATCTATAACCCATAGGCCCAGAGTGATAGCATTTTCAAAGGCATAATACCCTGTTTGCCTCCTTATCCCTTTCCCTCAGGAAACTGTTTTCTTGGGGATCTGATTATTTTCACCGCACCAAAAGACACTCTTCCCCTCTGGAACTAACTCTATCAACATCTGTCATGAGATAGCCTTTTGAAATCAATATTATTTGCTCTCCTCTTTTGCATCCTGTGATGAAAGTAACTGCGCTGGTTATTATTACTTCTACTTTAAGTATTGCAGCAATGCATGTCCTAATGGCCAAATCCCACAGTCGTCTTCTGAAATAAACTCATTCCAAATATACTCAAATCCCATCTTAAATGGAATGTGAAGGTAAGTTTTATGTCAGGAAAAATCAATACCTTCTTTCTTTCACCACTCCCCCCCCCCCAAAAAAAAAAAAAACAAACCTACATACAATAACTTCTTCCGCTGGTTGGGTATCAGACATTCTTTATCTATGGAATAATGTCTCACCTCCTCATTTAAACAGTGAAAACTATCAAACTATCACTTGTGTACAGCTATTCTTACTGTCAAGCTGTTGCACTGGACAGCACAGTGCATCAAATCTGTTACAGGTAAAACCATGCACCTAAGCTGGTTCTAAACATGACAAAAATTTTAGAAGACTGATTTTCCAGTGACACTGAGGGAGGATCTGGACTATCTAAGAAATTATTCAGACCAAAAGAAAGATATTGCGCATTAAGGTGCATATAGACAGCCCATTAAATGAGGGGGAAAAAAAGGGTTGCTTACTAGTAACGGCAAATTTCATATTAAGTTATTGATGTGTATATTCACAATCTGCCCACGTTTGGAATTTGCAGCTGTGAGGAAATCAGATTAGAAGATGCTCTCTACTTAATTTATAACCAGTACTCTTAAAAATAAGAATGTCCTCTAAAGATACTAATAGAAACAGTAAATTTCTATTGTAAATGGCAATGTACATGCATACCCATGGCACAAAACTGCATAAACTCAGACAACATATCTCAAAGAATCTCCAGGTACTGAAGCAATTTTTTCATTAAGATTAGGAGATGTTTTATAACATTCTTTTATACTTCACTGTTCTGAGCTCTGTGAACAGACATGTATGGTTTCAAGACAACACCAACAAAATATACTGCTTAAATCTGAGCAGGGATCTATTAAAAAGAAAAAGAAAAAAGTCACCTTTATCATAAGCATATAAGCAATCATATTATGCAGCAGTGTAGCCAACAAGCGGTCCTCATCATCCTCCAAACGCTTTCGATCATGTTCTCCCAGAGAAAGATACCTGCAAGAAGAGCTAGATCTGAAGCAGACTCACAGGCATACTTCATCCAGTTCACTAAAGCACTGGCAGAGGACAGATCACTATTTGTAAAGCGTATGGCAAATAAAACCTCCAAAAACACTAAGCCAAATGGGCATTTTCCAGTAAAACACTGTGATCACTAATTAAACATTTCCATTAATTATTAACTAGTTGAAGTAAATAACATCTGCTCAGTGGGAAAGTTCTCAGTGGTCCACTGGGCTTATCCATTTCCTCTTTTCTGCAGTCGCAGCTCCATGACAATTGTAACTGCCAGAAGAGGGATGTGTAACTCAGTACAAGAGCTACCTGCCTTTAGAGCTTAAATGTAGCTGCAAGGCAGAAGTAAACTGCACAGGCACTCTCTTTTTCCAGTAAGGTAGGTAGTCTGTGGAAAAAGAAATCGTTTTCAAACGAGCACCCCACAAACTGGTTCTTATTTTGGCTACCAGATCCCATGTTACATGATAGCATGGGTGTTGGTGGTACAACTGCAGGTGGTAGACAGAGCAGAGAATGATCAGATATTAACAGAGCTGGGGGCGGGGGGGAATAAAGCAAGCAGGTAGCGAAGACTGACATCTTATAAGTAGTCTAGCTTTAAGCAACCACGCAGATATTTCTAGAGAGTGGTTCCCTCGTGGTTCTTTTGTTTGTTTCTTTTAACTACAAACTGTAAAGTAAAAACACCTGTAAGTAACTTAGCATTTTGAGAAGGCTTAAAATGCAGTTTCTGAAGACATTTAATTCTTTCACGTTATGTCAACACACTGGTATCTTCCTTTATTCCAGAATACAGTCATCTTGCCACAGAAATCTCTTGCTTTATTACTGATCTAGTCTATTCCATCTATTCATACTGTGATTACGCTTACATTACCCATTTCTCTGGAAATACCACCTCTTCACAAGAGTTAAAAAACCCATATATATCACAACTGAAGATAGTATTTCAGTATCAGGAGATACTGGCCAGCACAGAGACAAAAGGCTCACTTTGGAACAGTCAGGTATAGTAACAAGGTTTACAAAGTGACAATAGCATGTTCAGCAGTAAAAAAAAATGGGTTTTTAGTATTTCAGCCCCAGGTGAAACAATGAGAAGGAAAGAGGTCTACTAATGAACTTTACCTGTCAATCATCTCCTGAGGTCCCTGGTCCATCCCCATTCCTTCTCTCTCTAACATCACAGCATCCAAAAAAGCATCTTCCCAGAACTGCATCTGGTCCCACAAAGTTGAACGCTCTTTGCCTATGCAATGTATACAAAAATTGAGCATTTATTCCATTTACTCCCTGTTCCTTCCCACTCCTTGAAAATACCATAAGCCAACACACAATTAATCCATATTAAAAAAAAAAGTTACTTTTAAATGACAAGCAATATCACAACTGAAGAAAAGTGTAAAAGAGAAGACATGTATCTCATTCTAATTCATGGCATAATCTTTTCAAACCCTTACACAAAAGTACCTCTCATCTCTATTCTTTAAGGAGTGTATCTTCTTCCATATACTGTTAACACTGCCCGAAAGAGACAGGAATATCTCACACAAACACAGATCATGGCAAACACACAGAGAAGTGGAAAGATAAGATTATTACTCATAGAGAAGGTTTCCATTGCAGCATCCTCTAACTGGTCCCAGACAGATCCTTTATCCCTACCTGCACCATTCCAAGCAGGTAGGAACGATAAATGGAAAGGATGAAAAACACAGGAAGAGAGAGCTCTTGATTAACAGCAAGTCCAGATGAAATACATTTCAAAAAAGTCAATATACTCCTAATTCAAGGATACACTCGAAGGCCATTAGTATTCTGAGTTTAGTAGCCCTCTGTTCAATGACTTAAGCTGAAGGATCTTTTTTCAAGATCAGGGATACATTTTAGTCTTCTATGCATAGCTAGGTAAGTTCCTTCTCCTCTTTTTCCAACAGTTTAAAGAATTCATATTCAAGAACAGCAAGAGACTTGGACAAACTACATTTTATGCAAACTACACCACTCACACCCATCTCCTCTTACTCTTATTCAATCTCCCCAGCAGATCTTTGGCTTTACTCTGAACAGCCTGATGCGCCACCCTATTCTACCAGTATGGGCAACAGTAAGAGGTTAAAGAGTCTCTGGGAATGTAAAAATTCCAGTCTGCCCCAGACATGACTCCACCTGAACTTCAGTCTAAGAGATCCCCTCCTCCCCTCCCTGCAAAAAAAATAGTTTACCCAAAAGTCCTTCATAGAGATAGACACGTTGGTTCCCGTCCTCTGGACCTCTCCCTGGAGTACTGCCTTTGCTATCCTTCACACTCTGCTTCAGGTTGTGAGACTTCGCCTGAAAATAATACAAGAGGTGTCAGACAATTTAACTCTGCACCCTGCAGGGCTGTTTCTTGCAGTCCACTGTTGTACTTAACAGATGCAGTTTGCAAGCTATACTTCACAGACACTTCTCCCACAAATGTTCACAAAACAAAAAAATTACTCTGTTCAAAGAGCAAGGTAATACACTTAAAAGTCCAGAGTCAGACAAAGGAAAAACAAAGAGAGACAGAGAGAGAAATCAAAACACAGAGGAAGCAAAATGCTTCCCCTGAAGGAAAACTGAGACAAAACAAAAAATGCAAATCCCAGACTAAAGGAAAGAACAGTTAAACCTCTTCTGTCATCCCCCATATTTCATGCTTATGCAGTAAGTTTGCCCAAATTCTAATAGTAAATCTTTCCCACTGTTTAGGAAATAGCTGAATATCACTGTCATTGTACAGATTGTGAGGAACGGAGGAAGAAATATGCAGCATTCTCAGGACTACGCAGAAAACGAGTATTCACAAGCAGAATAAGATTACCTGAGCTCTATCTCACATTCAGACTTTACAGGTTTTTCTTTCATTTACTATTCATAAAGGTATGACGTTAAATAAATGATTACATATCATCTGGTCTGAAGAACTGTGTGCTGGGACTATCAACCAGCAGGAACTATGATAATAAAGCTGGCCCATCTATTTCTCTACCACCAGGTAAACTATGATGCGATACTTGACATTCATCGTACATCACGTACACCCATCATCTTTGTTCTAAATCTGTTGCAAGGGTTCTTAAAATTACATTTAGTTTCATTAATCAAGTAGAAAAAAGCAGAAAACTTAAAAAAAAAAAGTAACTCTTTAGTAACTGAGAAGACACCCTCTTGCAGCTAAATAAGCGGACGTGGTTACATCATTTTCATGCTTTTAGAAGAAATCTGCAATGAAGCACAATGATTTTGTTTGTTGCTTAAAATTAGAAGTAGAAGCCCTATAAAGGCTTTTACGATCTCATCAGGATTATAAAATAATGAACACAGTGAGACCAATCTTAAGGCATTGCAAGTTGTTTTCATATTTGGCTGACAGCTTGATTTAGCCAAATCAAGTATATAATTATTTTCTTGGTAAGATGTATATTATAATCAAGGACTTTAAAAAACAAAATGAACAAGAAGTGCTCTCAGATCATTTGAATTTTACTGCATACAGATCTTCCAACTAGGAAATATATTTAAAAGTTATGATTACACTTCAAATAGGATTAAAGTAATGTTTTAAAGAAACAGAACAGCTGTAAACCTACAATGGGTCATCCCTTTGCTGTATCAAACAGCTGCTCCTAAGAAACAGGGGAATCCATTCCTCTCAATTAGGTAAGGTCAAACAATGCCCTTCAATGTTGTTTTGCCTCTGAAGGGCAATTAAATGTCCATTTGGTTGAGAGAAATATTGAATGAGGGGGAATTAAATATTGCTAGAGCCTGTAACATGGTGCGAGATGTAAATCTACTACTCTCAAAGAACCATGTATTGCACAGGAAATGAAGAAAGGTACGTGGATCCATACAAAATTGCATCTTTAATATTTTAATATTGTAAGTCATCACTGATTAACCCTTAGAACAGCATCAGAGATCCTCTTCCACACATGCACACACATTGAAATGATACTGTACAAGATTTAATTTTTAAAAAAAAAAGAAAAATAAAAAAGGGAAGTCTGCAATGCCCTTACAAAGATAGAGCTAGTAGCAGAGTTTGTCTCAATTTCACTGTCTGACACAGTGCCTCTGGATCCTGTCAAATTGCCACCATTTTCCACACTCGGGCCATCACCAGCATTGCTACTCAAGTCACTGTCTGCTCCTAATGTCTCTCCGGAACTGTTACTAACCTGTGGAGAAAAATAAAGCTGTTACTTTCAATAGACAAAGACACCATGGAGAGAAAAGTTGTAAAATGTTTCTTCTTAAGGCACCAAATAAGAAGCAGTACAACTGAAGGCCACATTTGCCTTTTCTCCTTCAGTAACATTATCTTTTCATCAAATCCTACTCCACAGAAAAAGATGAAAAGACACTCAAAAAGCCCTTCAGAAAAATCACCGAACTGTTTAGGTTGGAAGGGATCTGTTAAGATCATCTATAGACAAGCCCCCCTGCTGAAGCAGGGTCAGCTAGAGTACGTTGCTGAGGACCATGTCCAGTCAGGTTTTTAAAATCTCCACAGATGGAGAATCCACAACCTCTCTTGGCAAACTGCTCCAGTGTTTGACCACCCTCAAACTAAAAGTGTTTTCTTGTGTTCAGATGGAATTTCCTGTGCTTTAATTTTTGTGTTGACTACCTCTTGTCCTGCCAGTGGGTACTACTGATAAGACTCTGGCTCCCTTGCCTTCATTCCCTCCCATCAGGTATTTATACCCATTGATAAGATCCCCCCTGAGCCTTCTCTTCTCCAGGCTGAAGAGTCCCAGCTCTCTCAGTCTCTCTCATGAAAGATGCTCCAGTCCCTTAATTGTCTTCAAGGCCCTGAGATGGACTCACTCCAGCAAATCCTTATCCTTCTTGTACTGGGGAGCCCAGAACTGGACATAATACTCCAGATGCAGCCTCACCGGTGCTCAGTAAAGCGGAAGGATCACCTCCCTCGACCTGCTGACAATGCTCTTCCTAATACAGCCCAGAATACCATTGGCCTTTTCTGCCACAAGGGTGCATTGCTGGCTCATGGTCAGCTTGCTGTCCACCAGGATCCCAGGGTCCTTCCCAACAAAGCTGCTTTCCAGCTGGTCAGCCCCCAGCATGTACTGGTGCCTGGGGTTATTCCTCCCCAGATGTAGGACTTGGTGTTTTCCCCTTGTTGGGCTTCATAGATTCCTCGTGTGCCCAGTTCTCCAGCCTGTTGAGGCCCCTCTGAATGGTGGCACAACCATCTGGTGTGTCGGTCACTCCTCCCACTTTTGTATCATCTGCGAATTTGCTCTGTACCGTCATTTAGGTCATCAGTGAAGATGTTGAACAGTACTGGCCCCAGTACTGACCCCAGGGGTACACCACTAGTGACTTGTCTCCAGCTGGACTTTGTGCCACTGATCACAACCCTCTGGGCCCAGTTGTTCAGCTAGTTTTCGGTCCACATCACTGTCCACTTACCTAACCCATACTCTTGTCAGCTTGTCTATGTTACAGGAGACAGTGTCAAAAGCCTTACAGAAGTTGAGGTAAACAACATCTGCTGCTCTCCCCTCATCCATCAAGCTAGTCATCTCATTGTAGAAAGCTATCAGGTTGGTTAAGCATGCCTACCCCTTTGTAAATCCATGATGACTAGTCCCATTCACCCTCTTGTCCTTCATGTGTTTGGAAACGTTTTCCAGGAAGATTTTCTCCATCACCTTTCCCAAGGACTGAGGTGAGGCTGACCAGCCTGTAGCTCCCCTGATCTTTCTTCTTGCCCCTCTTGAAGATAAGAGTGGTATTTGCTGCCTTCCAGTCTTCAGGAACCTCTCCTAATCACCTGACTGTTCAGAGAATTGAGAGCGGCCTCGCAACGGCATCAGCCAGCTCCCTCAGCGCTTGAGGCTGCAGCTCCTCAGGAACCATGGATTTACATATATGCAGTTCGTTGAAGTGCTCCCTAGCCTGGTCATCCTCCACCAAGGGTAAGTCTTTCTTGTTCAAGACTCATCCTCTGGTCTCAGGGGCCTGGGATTCCTGAAGGCCAGTTTTACTGGTAAAGACTGAGGCAAAGAATGCCCCAAGTACTTCAGTCTTTTCCATCTGTCATCAGTTCCCCTGTCCCATTCAGCAGCAGGCCCATGTTCTCCCTAGTCCTTTCTCTTGCTGCTTACGTACTTGTAGAATCCTCTCCTGTTTCCATTCACATTCCTTGTCAGATTCAACTCCGTGTCCATATTGGCTTTCCTAACCCTATCCCTGCAAGATGAGACAGCAAATGTATACTCCTCCTGGGTCACCTGCCCCTGCTTCCACCTCTTGTATACTTCCTTTTTATGACTGAGTTCAGTTAGGAGCTCTTTGCTCATCCATGCAGGCCTCCTGCTGCCTTTGCTTGGTTTCCTACTTGTCGGGATGGACCTTTCTTGAGCTTGGAGGAGGAGATACTTGAATATCAACCAGCTCTTCTAGACCCCTCTTCTATCTGGGGCAGTATCCCATAGAATACAATTTCTGGGTCCATTAGAGAAAGACAATCAGAGTATTATTCTTGTTACAGGCTGGGAAAAGGTCATGGAAAGGCAGATATTCAGAGTTATGCACAGTTTAGAGAAGAAAAAAAACCACCAACAACAAAAAGGAAAGTTCCTTGAGTTTTGTCCCTGGAATATGCCATATCAGATAATATGCAGTAGGGAGAAGGCTCATTCTTTTTTTACTGAATGCATTCCTGCTACCTTTTCCCTCTAGGCCCTGTAGTTGATTGGAAAGCAAGCAGACATATTTTGATATGATTCAGGTGCTTTAAGGTAATACATCAGAAAGTTTTTTCTTGTTTTTAATGCATCAAACAATCTGCCTTTTTTGCTCTCAGGTTTCATTTTTAAACTTCTTTATAGATGGATTATACACAGCTAAGGCATATTTATAAAATTATTGCAATCCACCAGTTCCATAAATACACCAATATGTAGGAATATGTAACAGCAACAAGCACCATATATGAAGGATGCAGTCTGCTAATAAAGCACTACGTATGTTCTGTCAGACACACACGCTTGCCACCCACTCAGAGGCTCTGGAGAGAGAACTCATAGACATACATTATGCATGTGTGACGATATGCAGCCATACCACACAAAATGTAGGCACGAAATGCCCTCCCCCACTTTAGCAAGCAGTGAATCACATCAAGATTTCACTTTGGGGGTATCCTACCACTGTGCTAACTTCAGAATCCTGGCTTGTACTTCGGACCATAACTGCTGGTCCTCCACTGGGAATAGAGTCGAAATCACTCTTCTGCAATCAAAACATATAAAGGACAGGAAGAAAAGTCACGTTAGTTTTTATCATAAGGAGAGAACATCACTTCCCATTCCTTCAGGGTCTTGAATCACACACCTTACACTTCTTTGGTTTATTTAGCCAGCCAAATAGAAACTACTGCCTGCATGTCAAAAAGATCACGGGGTCATACAATTGAGGAGTTCGCAAAGAACTCAGTCCCCTACAGGAAGGGGGAAGAAATGTTACTGAATGAGCCTTTCAAGAATACTCAAACCCTAGAAGTCTTCCCCCAATTAAGTAGTGAATAGAAGAATCCTCTCTCTTATCCCATAAAGCAAGCAAGCATAGGAGCCACTGACCTGAGAACCTGAGGCCAAACTGAGGCCACTGTCTGCACTGATTTGGGATTTTTTCTCATCCGTTTCTCCCAAATCAAAGTGTTTCACAGCTTCTGGCCCTGAACAAAGGAAAAAGGAAATCATTACTGTACCAAGAAAAAACAGTATGGCAGAAAGCAGATGACAGACTGAAAGCAGGAACAGTACCAAGAAAACAAATTTGCTTTCTCATTCCTTTGATTTTTTTATTCCTTGGTACTGTAAACAACAAGGCCAGCAAGACACATCTGCCGTTCTTCAAAAGTTAGTCTGAATTTCAAATACTCCAAAGGCATAGTCCAGGAGTGACTATCACTAAACAGTACCTTTGTTAGCCATTCAAGAGAGAAAAGAGGACAGACAAAGGTCAAGTAGCTTCCAGTTACAGTAACACATGCAGAGCAGTTGCCATTCAACTCTAGGAAGCCACTTCCTTTATTCTTGGTAAAATAAAGGATACTTTTTTACTTAAAGTGAGAATCCTTTTTTGAACAGCTAATTTGCTCAAAGTCTTGGACTGAGTTTGTTAGGTTGCCTGCAGCAACTATCTAGACAAAAATCAGGCAACACATGACAAGAACATAAACAGCGACAATTGGTGTTACATCAGTAAGAATTTCAAGGAAGAAGCTTGTATGATGCTGTACTTCACAACATTCCCCGATTACATTAACAAATGGCTCTCCAGAGTTGGCAATCACATAGGTCAGTAGTGAGAGAGGGAATCAGCAAGCCTTATGTCATGCATTCATTAACCTGCCGATCCGAAAACAAAAAAGGGGAAAAAAAGGATAAAGAACTTTATGTTCAATTTCCCATGCAGTTCTAGAATCATATCATCTATTGTCCTCTGATGGGATGGCAGAAGGAAAAGACAATGATGGAGAGGTAGAGCCTGAAAAGAAATTTGGATAAGCACTGAACGAGGTAAATAACGAGGCAAGAAAAGAATGTGTTATAGACTGTACACAGAATGTCACTACTCTCAGAAAGGGGAAGAGACTGAATGCAACACTTCTGCCATATCCATATCTGCCAACTATTCAGTTACAGGAAGACATGATCAGCAGCTGGAATATTTGTATTATATACCCATGACTATATCCAGTATCTCTAAGTAAACAATGTCACTATCTCTTATAACCACTGATCACAACAACCTGGGAATTATGAACATGTTTGTATTATATGTAATATTAGAGAGGGTAAGACAGCGAAAAGGAAAGAAAAAGGGAAGGGAGGAGAGAGAGAGAGAAGGATAATATACAAAGATTTGTGGGAGTGAGTTTGAGATGGTATGTAAACTCATGAACAGCAAAGCCATAAGCGGGCTGTGCAGACCATACTAGCTTACTACTCAACCATCAATTCTCCATTTGAAGTGTTTTACAGAAAGTGTTCTTCATTGTTATAGTATTCTGCCTCTAAATCCATATGCTTTAGTTACTGTAAATCAAATCATCAAAGATTCTAACAAAGAGAAAGTATGAACAAAATTTACAAAAAAGAAAAATAACTAAAAATATCCTTTCTAAGAATCTGGAATCTTATTTTACACCGAAATATACACTGCTCACTTCTAGAGGTCTATTTCCACCCATTCAAACGGCCACCATTTCTAGTTCTGAATAACGATGCAGCAAAAAGTTTTATATCTCATTACTACAGCAAGAATACTAAACTTCAGCTGTGTGTTTTAAGCAATTTAAGAGTTCCCTGTCCCGACACATAATTCAGATATATTTCTGGCAATTTGACTTTTAAAGCAAATGAAACTGACTGAAGCAGTTCAGGTATTTTGAAGGCTGTGGGCAATACTGGTAACTGAGTTTAAGGAGCACAATAACCACAATCACATTGTTGTCACTATCAATTTACAGGCACTTACTAACCTCCCCTTCCCTTCTTTATGGAGCTGTATGTCTAATACACATAAACCACCAAAACCTCAATTTATCCCTCCCAATGTAGGCACCTACCTGAAAGGCCCAGTTTGGGAGAGTAGGTGTGTGCATGTACTACGTGTCTGTCTCACACACTCCTACCTCAGCAGAAAGCAATTCAGATCTTAAATGTAGCAAGCTGTACTGCAGAGGTGCCCCATTTGCCCCATTCTCTCTGAACTAACTCCAGATGCTCGCTTATACTTAACTGAAGTATTTAACTGAGGAGCCTAAAAGTAATGTAGCAAATCAAGGCCTAGTCAGAATGTCAAGAATTTTCACCCATTTATCTTAGCTATTAATCCTCCCCAACCTTCAGTCCGTAAAAGGGGCATCAGCTCTGCCAGGTAGAAACTACACTTATGGTTAGGAAACACCTACCACATCATGGTTATTATAAACTAGCTATTGTCCTTATGTCATGTCCCTATTTACAACAGTGACAACCAAAAGAGCAAAACCTTGTACTACACCTGCAGATAATATATATTCAATATTTTATTCGATATCATATTTCAATAGATGTTAAGATTTGTGTAGATTTAGACTACTGTTTAGACTCTGCAAACAGCCTCAGACTATTTCACTCCTCCTTTAACATGGGATATAAAAAACAAAATCAGGTTGATTTCTTATTATGAGGCTATTCTCTAACAGCCATCACTAAATACAATTCTTCACATACACCTTCTCTCTCCCCCTCAAATGTATTTCTTGTTGCAGACTGACTGTGGTCATAAACTGTTCATGGTTGATGCCAGGTAACAAAATTTGCCATCCCACGGCTTGAAAGAACAGAGAATTCTTCATTCCAGTAACATTCAATCAATCAATATATTCATGTCAAGGACTTGTTAAGCAAAACTGGTCTTTAACTTTTAAGAAAGGAGATGGAATATCTTAAAATCCTTCCATATATATTTCTGATACGGTAAGGATGCAGGATATCTGCTTCCCCTTCTTTGAAGAAGGCAACATTCAGGGGAGGAAAAAACAAAAGGAAAAAAAAAAAAAAAAAAAGAGACATTTGAACACAAATTCCCCAAGGCAAACTGATCTGTTGGGTCTCCTCTATAATGCAGGCTTTCTTGATAGACCTTTGTTCTTGCGGGCATAAAAACTGTGTGCCAGAGATGGAAGCTCACTCTGCATGTGGGGAGTTGGCAGTTATGGGGAGGCTGGAGGAGTCAGTTTCTACGTTTTTTAATTTCCTTACTCGTTTTTTCCAAAGATTTTTGCTTTTTCACTTCCTGGTGCTTGTTCCACAATTCTACCCAAGATGCATTGAAAGCAGGAGAGAAAGAGAAAGAGTCAGCGGCTGGTGAGACAGGTGAAAACGGGGAAGAAAATTTGAAACAAAACCCCCACCCCTTCATCTCAAAAAAAAAAAAAAAAAAAAAGGCAGAAATTTACGACACCTACTGAGTGAAGGGTTAATTACACCATTTTACAAGAAATCAATGTTAGGAATCGAGCACTGTATCATCTCTCATTTACAGAATTCAAATGTTAGAGATGACTTCATACAGTGAACCAACTAAGGAAAAACAGCTATTATGAACACATATAATGCAATTATAATCACCTTTCCTGAGAAAGGCCTTTAAGATTGTCAGATATTTATTCCTCCAGAATGTAAGCATCACAGAAGCTCTAATTAACAGAAACGTTTTAATGTCTCTAGTTTATATCATTGAAAGGAAAAGGCGCAAAACCAGCAGCAGCAATTCCAAGAAAATGAAAACTGTAGCTTAACACAATATTTAACCGATATTATATCTTAAAAATTATCACAAAGTTTACAAGTACAACAAGTTATTTTTGACCTGAGAGCATTCTCAATAAATGCTTGGCTCTGCCTATCAACCAGTCCTACATGCAAAAAGCTGAACTTCTCTGCATCCACTACTTCCTATCAGGTTATAAAGAATGGAAAACAAGGAAGAAGAAGAAAATGAGCAAGATATCAGTCATGCTTAATGCCAGCTTCCAAAATTCAAATTAGGTCACAGCACTCCAAGTCAAGGAATTCCGTAACAGGATACAATGCAGAGAAAAGGAAAAAAGTCTGAAGTCTGCATGCACTCTCTTCATTTGAAGCTTAGCCCTGAGACGAGATAGCGATGAGGCACTTGCACTTTTCTATCACTCACATTCTTCAACACTCTGAAATGCAGTCATCTTTTCTGCTCAGAAACATCAGATGATTCCAGGTGCTGGCCTGTTGGCCAAAGGAAACATTACAAGCTGACATGCTGAACTGACTCGCTGAACTGACTCTGAATGCTGGGCACTGTCCCCTCTCACTAGCACGGTTAAAGCTGGGAATGCTACAGAGAAAGATACTCTTAGAAAAGCAGCAAAGGCAAAGAGAAGGAAAAAGAAGTACAATGTTCTTCTACTGCTCTTCAAGGAAACTTGTTGAGCAACTAAAAGGCCACTTGAAGTGTGTCAGAAACCCATCCCACCCTGCAAATGGCAGAAATTAGGGCAAGACAGGCTCTAAAAAAGTTCTGTTTAGCAAAATGTCTACTAGAAAAAAAAAATTAAAAAAGGATAGTGTTATGATTGTGGAGGAAGGCTCCAAAGTATTATCATTAAATGTATCAGGAGCAAGGCAAATGTAGCAAGGGAGAAAAAGCTAGAAAGACAGCTGCTAGCCAACCGATTTCTGTATCTGCTTCATGATTGATGGATGTTCCTTCAACTTTCGTAAGTACACAGATGGATAGGATAAAATTGCTTATGGATCCAAACAGCATCCTATAGGCTTATCTAGCTGAGCACACACTGACACAGATAACAATCGCTTAAAGAGGCACTGAATTTGTTTGTTAAAGGGCTTTTAAAACATCTGGCCTCTTAAGTGCTCAGTCCATATGGCTTGGCTTTAAAAACCACCAGGCTGAAAGCTACAATACCTGCCGTTAAATTACTTCTAGCTGACTTGCCTGTTAACTCAGAGTAGAGTGTATCCTAGCACATAAAAACAGCCTAGATTTTACTCTCAACTGCTTTGTCAAAGAAAAGGAAAACCTCAAATAAACTTAAGGGGCATAAAATACTATGCCTATGACTTTGTTACATGAGCCTGAACTAAACAGGACAGCAGGTCCAGAAAGGATCTGATGCAGACAAAGTAGGTAGCACAATCTTTTCTGTTTCAAAAAACTGTCAAAATAAAAGTGATCTGCCAGCATTAAACAATTATTTAAAAAGTAGTAATGGAAACTTCAGTAAGTACTGACATTTTCATTAACAGTTACTGCAAGTATGCAATAAGACCAAACTAACCACTAACATAAAAGGGGAAACTATTAACTACCAACTTTAAAGCCACCAGTGTCCTAACAAAAAGGCCAACACTACAGGTGATGACCTGGAAGAACTCCAGAAGTAAGCAAATAATTGGTGATCTTTTAGGAAACAAAGTATCAGAAGCATCATCTTCACAATGAATTTCCTAGCTAAGCAATTAGGTATTAGAGCACAGCAAAGATCAATCCTCAACTGATAAAAATCCATCACTCTTCACCTCAGAAATAAGAATTTTGAATACCAACAGCCTTTCCTGTTACAAGGGAGCATCCTACATACTTGAGAGGTACACAAGAAACCATAAACTTTCTGAAAAGCGAAGAAGAAAAGGGGGTCAAGCAGGATCACATCCACCCTGAACTTTGGAAGACTCTGTGAACCTCCTGGCCGTTGTTCCTGTAGTACAAGACGACTGCACACATTCAGCTACCATACCTCTAGATCTCAGAGATGCAGTTTAATTGCCACACTAACACACACTTTATGTCTGGCTATTGCAAACAGTGCCGTACGTGATTTTACTCCATCATGCTGATGACTTACTTTTCATTCTAGTATTTTCTCTTGTAACTAGGTCAAAAGGTTAGCAGCCCAATTTGTATTTTGTCCATACAACACCAACAGATTCATTGAGAGTTTCATTTACATATCTGCAAACTGAGACTGTAAGCACCTTCCAAACTTCATAGAATCAAGGAACTGCTGAGGTTCCAAGGGACCTCTAGAGATCATCTAGTCAAATCTCCCTGCTCAAAGCAGGATCAACTAGAGCAGGCTGCTGCAGGATCATGTCCAGTCAGGTGTTCACTATCTCCACAGATGGAGAATCCACAACCTTTTCAGGCAACCTGTTCCAGTGTTGGATCACCTTCACATACAAACATTTTTTCTCATGTTTAAATGGAATTACTTACAAACACTTCGTTATTTCAGCAACATGTAAATGTTTACCAAATGCTTCTTCCCTAAATAAGTTAGTTTGAATGAGAAAGTCTGCATTTCAATACAGAAGGAATTTCAGCCCAGCCATGACTAACTCTGGTCCTGTATATCCAAAGTATTGTCTTATACTGAAGCTTCCGTAACAGAACATAAAGGAAGTATAATAGCCAAGCAACTTTAAATTATCTTCCTGCAACACAAGAGAAAATCTCTTTACTTCTAGATCTCAAAAGTCAGATGAACATGGACACTACGGTTTTTTTACAGCAATTCCTTAAAGACTGACTTGCATACTAGTTCATGGTTCTTTGTGACAGACAAAACCAGTTAGAAAAAAAGGCTTCAGAAAAAACATTGAAGTCTTTCGAACTTTGATCAGTTTTGGTGAAACCATATCCTTCTTGTAACTTAGTTCCATAAAAGACAAGTGGAAATCATTAGAGCATCAGAACCACCAATAAGAATTTACCTGTTGCCTGTCCTTGAACACTGTGAATTGTTTAAGGCTAATATTCTGGCAACAGTAGTTAACATAACATATTAAGTAGCACTTCTTTTGAAAAGCATTTCTTACAATGCTTCACAAACACGGACTGTCTGATCTCTAAGATTTCCATTTCTATGAGGTTTTAAATTTATTTGACAGAAAGGAGCAGTCTCAGCAATCCAAACAAAAGATCTCTCTTCGTTCTTTAAAAGAACGCTGGTGTAGCATCTGTTTTATTCTTAGTTGTGTCAGAAGCATACTTTCCTTTTTCTCCTTTCTACAGAAAAGAAATTAAGTACCCAGAGTGAACCAAACCACTAAACTGAAATGCTAGAAATCTGAATCTCTCTTAGCTCCCTGACAGATTTTCAAATAGAGTGTAAGACTAGTTTCTGAGCAACCACCTCCATGTATTACCTCTTGAAACAAAAAAGCAAATCAAGTCAGAGGGGCTCAGTATCAGTTCAGGACTCGACACCATTCAGCCTGCAGCTATTATGTGGGTATAAAAATGAATGCCTGCACTCCTGCCACATAACTGCCCAATACGCACATTCCCCTGTCTTATGCGACATACTGCAGGTACAGCCTCACAGTAGCAGGCTGCTTCCAGAAGATTAATCTTTCCTACAATGATTCCACTAAAAAGTTATTTTGAACAGGCTATAAGAAGCAATGGCTAAAATCTAACATGACATATTTTTGGAGTTGACAAAGAATTTCTCTCATATGCTGATGGTACTTTCCTCTTGTTTACAATCCACAGCAGGTTGGATCCAACCAAAATATTTTTTTTCTTTTTTTCTCCCCCCCCCCCCCAAAAAAAATTTGTAAAGCCCTTTTTAGGTAAAACAGTTTAAAGCCTACCTCTAACTTTTTCCCAGACATAGAGAAAAGCTATACCCGCTAAGAAATTAGGCTGGGAAAATTTCCAGTGACCAGCCTAGCAGATGCTGTTTAGAAGGACACGCATTCTATTTGCTATTGCATAGAAGGAAGATCCATCAGTCCTGCTCACTAAAACTGTAACACTACAACTAAAATCTTTTTGGCGGTTTTTATTATTAATAGTCAGCAGATCCTGGGTCCCACTTCTATCAGGATGCAATCTAGATAATCCACAGGTAGTCAGCAATGATTAGAAAACTTTTGTTTCATGTAGCTCCTTCCACAGTTGCCCTTTCCAAAGTCCTGCTGGCCCTGTTTCCCTTTTGCTATTTCCTGTTGCTTGAAAACATCAATCACAGAGCAAAAAATTAAGTTGTCTAAAGCGTAATGAAATTCAGAAACAATTAAGATTAGAAAGCTTCTGGGAGAAAACTGCCCTGAATAGTTTATCCAAGAGTAGAGTGAAAACACATATGATTGTTCCTTGTGATCCAAAGTGTAAATGAAGCATGTTACAGCAGCAATGTAGTGTGTCAAAATGGAGAGAATGCAAATAGAACCTAATGCCAAAATAGAAGTTCCTCCTGCACTTCACATGCACCTCAATACACACCAATGGAAGCAATAAAATTTTCTTCCTTTAGACTCCTTGTGTCAAACTCCCTTGGCCCTTTGCCTGCAGGGCTTGGTGCCTTTGGCATCAGCTGAGGTACCGGCAGCTGCATTGCAGGTTTTGGCTCCACTCTTGGGGATGATGCAGGATCCTTGCCAACTGGAGTGACAGATCCATCCGTTGGACTTCGTTTTCTCTTTTCTGGTTCTTTAAAGAAAAAAAACGAAGTGTTGGGGGAAAAAAAAAAAAGAAAAAAACATAATGAAAAAGGAAATGAGAGCAGGAAAAGGAAGATGAGACAGATGGTCTCACCTAAATCATTAAGCCTGGCACTGAAACAGCTCAGTCCCACATTTGTTCCCATAGGTCACCATGGCTTGCAGATAGTCTGACACACTGGTGGAAACAGCAGAGGAGAAAGCCAGAGTGCTGTTTTTGGGAGACTCAAATTATCTTCTTCCTGTATATTTGAAACCTAGGAATCTTCTTTAACACAGTAACTGTAGTATCTCCTCTGCTGAGTTGTGCAAAATTAAACAACTCTGCCTAAACTACCAAGAATATCACTTCTAGAATATAAGGAAGCTCCTCTTGCAGTGAAAAGATGACAAATACAATCATCTTTGATGGGTAACACTAAATGAAACTTCAGTTAGGAAAAAACCCCAAAAAAACTATCAGCTATAGCTCTTCTATCATTCTCCAAGACTTCCTATAATCATATGTCCCCAAAGGCAGTTTGGATTATTTCTCTGTATCAAACTCCACAGTCTGAATTACAGCAAAACTTTCAGAATAGAATAATTAAAATTAGGTTTTCCATAAAGAACCTCCTGCAATCCTACACAAACTGTTCCAATAGCTGATGAGGCTAATAGTCAAAATTTCATATCCTAATATCTAAATTTGTCACTACCACTAGACCTCGTGATACCTTTGTCCAGTAGATTAAAAATTCTGCTATCAGCAACACCTTTCCATTTAGATAACTGAAAACAATCAACATCTAACATTCAACAGACTGAACACCTCCACCTTTCAGAGCAAAAGTGTTTTCCCAATTCCTTGTAGGTCTTTCCAGAAACCTCCTCAATTTTTCAAGATGTGATGATCAGAACTGGAAGCACTACCTCAGCTGTGGGTCTTGTTAGTGACATATCCAGAGACAATGTAATAGCTGCATCCCAAATCTATATTCCCAGGTTTACACAGTGTCCCCTTCTCCAGTTTTTACAGACTCAGTAAACAGTGGGAAGTTCACACATAGCTGCCATTTTCAGAGACACTGCTTCCTAGGACATAGTTCCCAGTCCTGCTATTATTGCCAACTGTCCTTGTTTCTAAACACAAGTCCTTAGTCCTTAATTATATTAAAATAAATTAATCACAACCATGCTTTATTAAGATTCAGCTTCCTCTAGACAAATAACCTATACCCATCATGTCCTGTTCAAATAGCATGCATCATATGCAAACTGAACAATTTTAGGATTACTAGATCACTACTATATGTTAAGTAACATTAAGATAAGCACTAATCTCTATAAAAAATTTCTATAAATACCTAGATCAACTCATTGAAAACAGGTAAAACATAGTAAACAGCTAAAATTTGAGTATAAATCAAGATGTCATGCAATAGAGAAGTCCTTCAAAGATGTATCAAGGCTTTAAAAGTTTTTATCAAATTTTGTCTATTGTGATCACAATTAATTTACTGAGTAGACTCTACTTACAACCAAATTATGGTATCTGGCATCACATTAGCAAGACTTCACTCTACAACCATGGAGTTTTACATCAGCCACTCTAATTTTGCTTAGGATCAGTGTCAGACTAAAAGTCTTGTAATTACCAAGATCAGCCTATTCCCCACATGCAGGACTGTTACACTAGCACAGCCTTCCTTACCTTCCTCAGCATTCTAACAACGATTGGGAATGAACACCTGTAACCCACAGGGCATCTAAGCCAACTCATAAAACCCCTGATGCAAGCCACCCAGAACACCAACCATAAAGCGTTCAGTAGATGTTACTCCTGGGCTACAATGAAATAAATAGCTTTTCATCATTTGAGATTACAGCTGAGTCAGATATTAAGCAGAGAGGTAACTTTTTGTCATCTTTTGCTCTTTTTCCTTATGCATGCATTTTCTTATTTTGCATTAAGGATCATATTTTAAGAAAAAGCTGAAAAATAAAGAGGTATTTTCGGACTTTCCTCTCCAAGAGTACTTTGTGATATAAGAATCATCGTGTAATGCAAGGTGGTTGGTGAGATATAAGTCTCATATGGTTCCACATTAGAAATAGCTCCCTCCCTATTCAGGTTGTCTGCAATAACTTTCCAAGACTGTGGTTGGGACAGTGTTAGCTGAAGGTCCCCACTCTCAGAATTTCCAATTCATCTGTGAAAGTCCCAGGTTTTGTATCTTGCTGCATAGTTTCCATTTTCAATCACATATCAGCATGGCCATTATTTTGCTTTGGTCCAGTTACATGTGTGCAAGAGAACGGTTTCAAGCTTTGTAAGGTTTCAGTAACAATGGTACAGTTCTCACCTATTTTGAAAGTGTCGTAAAACCCCTGAAATACCAGGAGTCACAAAACAGCTACCTTCACAATAAGGATCTTGTTTGGTTCATAAACACCGTATTCTCATAATCACTTTTCTTACCTTTGTTGTAATAGTGAGTATGTGCTATCTCTAGCAGGCCAAAAACACTGGCCATGCCTCCCAGGCCAGCATTTGCATATGACTGCTCCAGGCTCAACACGGTGCACTTCAGCAAGTCCAGCATGCCTTTATAAACCTTGCGGCTGATCTCCTGCAATGAAAATCCCATTGGTGTCGCTATTTCAGAAGTGAGAAAGTAATTCAAGAACATAAATTCCAGTACTGCTGTAACATCAGCTTTTAGGAGGCACTTTAACAAAAACTTTCTATGAAATGAGCTGCAGCAGACACTAGGTATGAGGACCCTGCTGAGTTCAGCACTGACCACATCCTGTATGACATCCTGTCGAGCATCTTCTTCTGACTGGATCGTGCGATTCAGCTTGCTTAGTACAAAGACACGAAGCTGCTCGCTCTCCAGCAGCCGTCGGACTCTCTTCATGTTCAGCCAGCCAACACCTTGCCCATCGAGAACATTGTGTACCACCTCCTTCAGGAACTGCTGATTCTCACTGATGGATTTAAGGGGAAGCAGGCAAAAGTTAGCCCTCTGCTTACCTTGGCTTGCATAGGAAGAGAGGTATGGCCAGGACACACACAGAAATGCACTTCCTATCAAAGCTAAGCTTACAAGAAAAGAAGTTCAAATCTAGCTATGCCCGCTGCTAACGTAACTGCACACAGCCCAAGCTCTGTTCTATAGGTGTAGTATCAATTATTTTATTTTGTCCGTTATTTCCTATAATAAGCCGTAATCAGATTTTCCTCTAGTCCCTCTAGCTACCACTCTACTTCTCACCTTCACAGCACTCCTCAGAATCCATAGGAATCCTCTATGCCACAACCTTCTCCCACAGCCACCTTGTCTGACCTGTAGGCTTTCCTTGAAAGAGGAAGTGCAGCACTACCAATAGCACTACTGCAGCAGCCTTGGCAGGTGTACTGCTTCAGCTTGTTTTGCCACAGGGGAGGGAATGGTAAGAAGAAGGGAACTCCTGTGCAACCTGCTGCACTCCCCAGTCTGAACTGCAGTTATTGTTCTTGCTTGTCTCCCCAACCCCAGTAGCTCAAAGTAAATTTCACTCTACCCATGATTGCTACATAAGAAAGGGAGGAGAAAGCACAGGCACAGGTCAGGTAATGTTTACTTGCACCATCCTGAGTCCCTTCCCAAGGCTGAGAAAAGCGTTTCACATGAATTTGCAGAATCAAACTGCTTCATATGACTCACCTGATCCCCTACATGGTGCACTAAAACTTTGCTGCCTAGACTACCTTGTTCAGAACAGACTCAATTGCAAAGAATAAATACTGAGTTAAAGTAGGGACCTAGAATTTTTTGGATCTCATCAGAAAGAGGATACATTTCAGAGCACAAAAAATACGTATGTGCGCTATTAACTGTAAGACCATTCATACCAAATCTTTTCGGACAATAATACATGCAAGCTTAGGGCCACAGAAAAATACTATTTAGTTTTCAACAGCTAGGCTTCTGAGGAAACACTGACAAAGTATGAGACCACTCTAACAACACTTTATACTCAAAAAGCAATGAAAAATATTACCTGGAATTGCTAGTTCGTCCCTGAGGCGATGGAGATTCTCTCTTCACTGTTGGGCTGTGCTTAATGACCGAAGACTTTTGATCTACAAGAGCTCGTCTGTTTCCTAAACAGGAGAGGAAACAGGATGAGAGGAAGGGGTGGGAGGAAAACAGTCTGATCCCAGGACAGTAACAAGCAACGCTAAGGTTGGCTAACACACCTCTTCAGATTACAGATAACAGACTTCAAACAAAATGGAAACTTCAAAAAAGCAGCAGCATATATCATATTCTAGCATCACACATCGGCAGAAAACAGTAATGGGAGTAATGCAGAGAGAAAAAGAGAAGATGGTAATGGGAGCAGGAGGTGAAAGGCAGGAACAGTTTGGCTGCTCTGCATGCAGTTCCACAACAAGAACCATCTTCAAATTAGTCACTATATGTAAAAGCATAATGCATTGGGGGTGACTAGTATAGATCATGTGGTACTGGTTACCCAGTGAGAAAGGTAGCCCAAAGTCAGGCATAGGGAATGCTGGAAATTGTTATATCATGCACAGCTCATGCTGTAGGGAACCCACCTTCATTGCTTACTGGGCCAGCTTCAGTAATAATCTCCATTATAGTATTTAACCCAAATACTGGGACACAAAATACACAATTAGTAGTGTACTACAATATCTACACTCCCCACCATCAGCATCAAAAGAATCCAACTACCAGCTTCTTCCCAGCCCTCCCTCAAAACAAAACCCAAATGATGCTAGAGCAGGAAGGATGATTGAAAGCCCAAGACAACAAGGGCCTCCGTAATTAATCTTAGAGATAGTGCTTGACTTGAAATTTGGCATCGTGGAACCATTGTATTGCATCTTCAAGGACATTATTGCACATATTGTATTTCAAGGGCACTATCAAAAACATCTGCGTCACCGAGGAAAAAATATCAATGGATGTGCATGAAATAAAAATTAAAAAGGAAGATGGAAAGTGGTCAAACAGCAGCAATGAGATGGAGTCCCAGCATCATTTCCCATTACAGTTAGAAACACAGGGTACCACACACACTTGGTAAGAACAAGTTAATGCAGCGATTTTATACCTGTACAACAGAGACAAAAACATTTAAAAACCAGTGAAGTGCCCAGTGGGAATCCCAGTGAGCCAGCATGCACACGTAAATGAACACGAACACACACACACTTGCACATGCATAAAACAGACTGAGCTACTCCACGGAAATCCCATCCTCTCATCTTCATAGTAACATTAAAGGCCCTACAGGATTACAATAGTCAAGAAAAGAACACCAAAGTGCAGAAGATGAGGCGCAAAGCATGAACGTGGAATGGCAAACCCCATCACTGTTTTCTTCCAATGCATGGAATCAGTCTTTAAGTTTACCCATGGAAATAACCCTGACATGAAGCATGTTTTTTATCCAGTACAATTGGACATGAAAACATAACCAACTGGTAAAAGGTTGTCAAAGACAGCTGGGCAGAGTCTCTGCTAGTGTTTTCACCATACCAGTCCTGTTCCTCCTCATTTTACACACAGGGAATGATTACTTGTCTCAAAAACAAAGTCCAAAGCAGAAACACAAAAACCAGCTTTTGGCCTTTGTTTCTACAAGGTCAAAGGTCAGCAAAACATCATACCAACCTTCATCCACATCCCTTCCCACTTCCAGATTAAAGTAATCTTTACCGATGAAAATGATGAGGAGGAAAAAATAAATGAAAAAAAATCAACATATTAAAACAAAAGCAGTAAGTTCTAATCAGATAGAATAACTCAAAAGGTAAAATAAAACCTTTCCCCAGTTTAGCAACTGAAAAGGTCTCAACACTAAAACGCCAGCATGTGCTCAGTCACCCATCTGTTACTACATCTGGTACAAGGATGACCAGGCTGTCTATCTCCCCACGGTAAGAGGGTCATTTCTCCAGTGCCCATTCAGACATGTTATCTAATGATACTGCAGACAAACAGGAGATGTTCCAATGAAAAGATTGTGCACATAAGTTAGGAATTGATCTTCACTCTGAATGAGCTGAAGTATGGTTATCATTTGATTTTGATCAGAGATTTTCTATTTCGTGACCTGAAAAGACTATAAACACTTTTGAAACCCACGTAAACTGCAGTCTCCATGGGAGGTTGGCATTACCCACACTTACAAATGCAGCATCATTGCTCTAACAAGTTACCTAAGGCTAATCACTGCCACTATGAGGATAGTGGCAGTACAAAGTAGTACCTACCTCTCAGTTCCCATTCTTTACAATAAGTACTTAAAAATAAAACAAATCAAAATACAAAACAAAACCAACATTCACAGTTAATCCATTAACACAGGCTAGACTAGCCAATCTCCCATCCCAGCACAGCCCAACTGTTGGGAAGAAATCTGACTGAGAAATATCAAGACAATTTACCGTCTTGATACTTAAGACAGGTACTACCCAAACTACCAAAATACGTCACCCCCAGGATTCCTGTTAGGGGTAAGACTTCAGACTGCCAAGTCACAAGAACTGTAAAGGCTGTAGAAGACAAAGGGAAAAACGGTTACCTTTCAGGCTGGGAAAGGGAGTATTCTTGTCTCTCCCAACTTTGGTTGGTAGGGCTAAGTTGGACAGACTGAAACTTGTGCTGTGGTTTCTGTACAGGCTGCCTATGACAGAAGAAGAAAACAATTAAATGCCTAATGCTCACTGCACACACCCGAACTTCCTAAACTTCCTGTAATTCACCTTCTTATTCCAGATCCTTGATGATGAAGTTGTTCTTTATTACCCAAAAGTCTCACAAGCATAACATCATCTCATTTACACTGCAACCACATCTGTAATCAGATTATTCTAAATTGTACAAAAAAGTAATTCTTAGCTTTCATGTTACAATCATTGCTGTTGTATCTATGAGTCTTAAATGTAACAGCAATATCCACCTGTCTTCCTGCACTTAAACTGGTAACCTCACATCAGCTGTGTCTTCTAGTTTGATCCTCTTTTTAGGAGCAAATGAATGGTAGGGGCCACATGAGAAAACAGGATGACGGAAGATCTCCAAAATACGCAATTCTGAAGTGAGGATTGTGCACTGTGCCTTGTGAAACACTGTAAATCTGCCACAGAAGTGTGCTTTAAAATAGAAGCTTTCCATAGATTAGGAGAAAACAGAAGTTCTTCCTAGTACAGACAGATCTTAAGAACACAATAATGCATCGTCATCTGTTAAGTCTGTAGACAGCCTGAAAGCATCTCATGCAGATCAACGAGCTGATTAACACTTGAAGATGTTCATTTAAAATCTCAGCGTACTATTTCAATTTGCCTTGGTTCTTTTTTTGCGGCCTTATTTTAGTAACAATCATTTTACCAGAAATATCCGATATACTTTCCCCACTGCTGCAAACTTCTTGTGCTGCTCCCCACTGTAGTGCAAGACTCAACTGGCCATATCTTCTCTCAGTCATTAAAAAACTCTGTATTAGTTTTCCACAACTGTGGATTTTATTATTAAAATATAATTGAAAGTAGGTGAGCACAGTCAAGAAATTCAATGTAGCACCTAAACACACAATATGGTAGCATGGAAGACATACTACTAGTAAGATTTTTGTATCAGCTTCATGAAATTGCACAATTTTTTGTTTAAATGAAACTGAAAGAATTTCTGATCTGTGCCCTAAAGTGCCATATAACTCAAGGGCCTAACCACATAACCAAAGTCCTTCTTACTGAAAAATACATAAAGTAGTAGTTATCAGCAGTGTAAGTTAAATAGGTCCTGTGGCTCCTAACGTGACTTCTGGAGAGCTGGTAACAATTCGCCAACCAAGTCATTCTCTTGACTAGCCATCCCTCTATTCCATCTCTCTGTAAATTCTAATATAATAAATAAAACCAGCTTAACAAATGCAGTAGTACATACTTGCGAAAGACATGATGCCCCCAAAACCTTCACTGCTGTTGTTGGAGACAGTAGAGTTTGGGGAGCTGGCCCTGGAATCTGAATCTGCATCAGAATCATTGGCCAGTTTTAAACTGTTTGGACGGAGTAACTTCTGAGACCTTTAAAGAAATTAAGTACAACTGTTATTAGTATTCCCCCTTCCCACCCCAAATCAACACGTTGTCTGATTGTGGGAGATCGATGCTGGTCTCATTCCTCACCAGTTTTCACCACACTACCCTTACCTTGTGGGAAAGAAAAAAAAGAAAAAAAGAAAAATTAGAAGCAAGAGAATTGAAGCATCTTTGCATTCAGGCTTTTATTACTTTTCAGGGCATGCTGAAAACTTGTCTGCAAAAGGGCATTGGTGGATTTGGGGGTGAAAGGCTTCTGCTTGGACAGCAATAACAAGAAAACCCAATGTCATCAATCACTATAGTATCTTTCCCCCAAAACACAAAGCTTCACACAAAAAGAAAAAAAAATTGCTCAAAGGTTTCCAGAAATCAGTAGGTGATATACTAAATGTTTCTAGGAAGAACTGATAATTCTGTTAGCTCCTACTGCTTACATAAAAGCAAGGAACTGAGGGAGTTGAGCAAGTGCCTTTACTCAAACCAGAAGGGTTTACAGAATTTCAGTATTAAATGGAAGTGATCAACAATACATTTCAGGTGCAAAAGACATCTGAAGGAACGAACGTTAAACTACATGAAGCAGATGGAAACCCCAACAGTGCTGTACAGAAGGGCAGGAGACAAGGAGGACTCACCTGCTTCCATTGAGATTCTGGTTAAATCTTGGGGTGTAGCTCTCTTCCTGCTCATCATCTTCATCCTCTGTAGGAAAACCATACTGTGGTTCGAAGTACGGATTGTCATACTCTCGCTTCCTCACCACCCCTTCTGAGGAGCTCATGCTGCCAGCTGCGTTGTCACCCTCACGACGATCCAAGCTTATCTTGGGAAAGCTTGGTTGCAGTGGCAAGGAAGGGAGATGGTTTGAAAATCCAGCAACCAACTTCTCTTCCATTTCTGCTGAATCTGCTGACTCCTGTGGACCAGTCAAATCATTGATCTGTTCGCTAATTTGCGTTACGTACAACTGAAGGGCAGGACAAGAACAATTATTTCAAACTGGGAAGTCTGCAGGGTCCTTGCTGTTTGTTACTGGGCCCTGACCCCATCCCCACTGTCAGTGGCTATAATCTAGGATTTTATACATGCTGCAGTATTTGTGCATTGTTCTAGGGACTTACTCCCCTGTAAAACAGATCTTACTGGTAAGTGTTAGCTCAGGATAACAGCTGTCCATTACCCTGTTCTGTGGTTATGCAAGCAACTCCCATTCTTCCTAAACGACCACAGATTCATGAGTTTTCCCATCCCACTCCCTGCCTCTCTAATGCACCAGGTCTTTCCAGACTCTGTAAAAGCAATTCCTGCAGTCACAACCTGGACCACTGCTCTCTGTTAATGCTGCATTTTTCAATGCATGGGAGCTTTTGTGTACAGGAATGCTCTATCCCAGCATAAAAGGGTACCAGTAAACTCCACCTTGCTCAGAAAGTCTAGAAAGAGCATGCAATTTAATCTGTGCATGGCTTCACAGTCCTATTAGCTTTTGCCCTTCTCAGAAAGAACCACATGCATTCTCCCATTCTTTATATCCTAATACACTGATCTTGGGGCTGAACTCATCTCAGTACACACATGATTCACTCCATGGATGACAGTGCTGGGGCTGCTACTGGCTGTAGTACTGGAACTTGAACGAGGCTGGTTGTTCTCTTGGGAGTTTTCACTGTCCATGGCCTGTTCATCGAGATCCCCTGAATATTCTTGAAAATCATCAAATTCCACTTCACTAGCGTCACCAAGGGCTGCATGAGTCAGGGGGTCAACATCTGCAAACACATCATTTTGCATTAAAGAACACTGCCTTCCTCAGCCTTTTGCCCATCTAACTAAAAATCCCTAGCAAATGAAGACTGCTCAGTAGAATGAACTTGCATAAAAGATTAGGTTGTAAAGGGCCTTTGGAGGTCATCTATTCCAACTCTCTGCTCAAAGCAGGGGTAACTTCAAAGTTAAAGCAGGTTGCTCAGGGCCTTGTTCCACTGAGTTCTGAAAGTCTCCAAGGCTTGACATTCTACTGTGAACCTGGGAACCTGTTTAACTATACTAACCGTGAAGATCTTTTCCTTATGTCCAAGCAGAATTTCTTTTGTTGCAACTTATGATTATTACCTCTTGTCCTTGGGACATAGGAAATGTGTTGGCATTCCTAGATTTAATTTATTGAAAAAAGTGAGTTTCCCACTCTCACAAGAGAAGCTATTGCTGCAGCCTCCATATAAGCCACAGAGAATGCATCTCCTGTCCCCACTAGGATAGAGTGACTCATTAAAGCCAGCACTGAGAATCAATATGCAGGGGCAGGAGAAAGCTCGTACTCTGCTGCCCGTATTGCACAGTATCTACTGGCAGCAGCAGGTTGTTTCCAGACCTAGTGAGCCAGTTTTGTTCAGCAGCACCTATTTCTGTTCTTCCTCCTCGCAGTGTCCTTTGGAGGGCATTGTTTATAAGCAGGAGAAGTGTCTTTTTTCAGCCTACCCCTGGATATTGAAGAAGGAGTATAGAAGACACTTTTACCTCAGAGCAAGACTACAATGGAACAATACTTTGCTCTGATTCAGGGACTTAGGGGAGGCATTTTTCCCACAGTGCAGATGAATGGGGAAGAGGAACCTATGTGGACCTTGTGAAAGTACAGCTCGAAGTTACTCACTTGGGGTATCGCCATTAATGTCACATTTCATCATCTCACTGACAAAGTCACCAAGGGAGGAGTAGGAGGAACTTGAGTCATCATAGTCGACACTGTCACTGCCACTGCCACAACAGGTGAGAAAGAGAGATGAGTGGCAGCACAACAGCAACAGCAGGGCCTGATGTTTCAAAGATGTGAATCAGCACCGTTTTCATGGGCCTCTTAAAAAACTCATGATACTACAGTCTCTACAAACAAATTTCTGGCAAGAGTCAGAAGCCAGCTTCATGAAAGTCAGAGCAAATGAAATAACTTTGAGGTACGTCAAGAGACGTATGGGAAGACATTTAAAGGCTTTCAGCAAAGTTAATGAGGTCAAGCATAAGTGAGCAGGGAGTAGTGTATTATTTCTCAGTGTGTGTGTGGATGTGTAGGACGACTTTAAGGGAACTGGAAATCACAAGTAAAAGCATTCCCTTTTTATACTAATGATAAATCCCACTCAGTCAGCATCACTGGTGCTTTGTAGAACGTAAAAGATATGCAAGACCAAGCCTAAAAGATCTCACAGGCTAGCAGAGAATGAAGGATAATAAAACTAGATGCAAAACTCTGGGAAATATGGCCAAAACTACTATAACAAAAAAGTTTACTCTTTTTACTGAACACACAAGGAGTCTCAAGCAGTAGGTAGTACTAACAAGCTTTGCATAACTATGTGCACTGAGCAGAGATTTGAAAGAGTGGTAGGATGGGTAGGAGTACTTGTAGTACTGCAACAGAAATAACCGGAGAAAGAACAGCATGGAAGAAAAAAGCATTAGGGTGGGAGGAAATACCAAATGTCAAGCGGCATATGGGTAGCAAAAGAAAACAGGAAAATACAAATGGAGAATCACATTAAATGAAGGCTTAAGAATACACTAGCAAAGGGTTAAGAGGTTGCTGTGATGACAAAGCAGTGAGACAATTTACTTCAGTGTCAGTATTCTGCCCAGACAGAAGAAATGAAACAGCAGCCTGGCAGGCTAAAGGAAAAGTCTGCAAATGAGAAGTAGGAGGCCCAGCAATCTGAAGTAACTATCACGTGACTAGGGTTATGCTCCCCACTAACCTGTCATCAGTGGGATCAGAGTCTGTTTCTTTCTCTACTGTGACATTCAGCGCTTCAGCCAGCTGTGAATTACTGTCATAGACACGATAGTGGATGGGCTGCAGCTGGTGAGCATACCACTTTGGTTTGTCACCAATTAGTGCTGGGTCAAACATGCCTGCACAACAAAACAAGGAGAGAGTTAATTGAACTCATTTATTGGTGTCAAAGGCTTCATTCACAGTGAGGCTACCCCCACTAAGTCTTGCACAAAGGAAGGGACAGTCTCTACTCTAAGTAGCCTACAAGACGACTTCTCCGTAACCAAACAAGACAAGAGGTAAAATTAATGGGAGGAGTGAGTGGCTAATAGCAGGGCTAACTTGGTAGAAACACATGAGGACATACATAAAAATAGAAAAGTGTTCCTTGAACTGGATTTCCCTGCCCAGCAGGAATAATATGGTGTAAAATTAAGTCCTTCCCTAGAATCTCTCTGCTTTTTAAGTTCCTGCATTACATCCAAGTGCAGGAAAGGCAAGACCAAAACTTACTGTTATGAATTCTTTGGAAAGCATAGTTAGTAGGGTTGAGTGACCATTCTCCAAAGTATTCTACTGCCTGTGTCCTGGAAAGCTTATCTGCAAAAGGTGTTTGCTTCGGCCTAGAGGCAAGAAAAGAATTTGCCTGGAAGGCCACCACTGGTCGCGGGAAGAGACGAAGAGTGCGAGTATGCATCTGGAAACCTTGCAAAACATTTGGCGAGTTGAAGAATCTCACCATAGCAACCCTAAAAAGAAACAGAGGCCAATATATCAGATAAAAACACAAAACACAACAGAAAAGACAACAGAGAGCCTTTAAAAGGTATGCAGTAGGCAATGTTTCAAACCTTTGAAGAATGGTAACCCAGTACGAAAAACTAAGTATTCTTAGATAACACTTGTCTTTAAAAAAAGAAAAAAAAAACCAAAACAAGAAATTACTTTGTTTTAATTTTTAATTTCAACACCAAGACCCACCCAATGAGGGACATTGTTCTCATATCCACTAGCTGAGGTGACAACTAAGTCTCCAGCTTTTTTTGTAGTTCAAGGCTTGTGATTTAAGCTGAGGATACAATATCAGACTGACAAGTCCAGGTAAAGTGGATGATCTGTAGGAACCAAAACAAGAAATTACTTTGTTTTAATTCACCACCTCAACACCAAGACCCACCCAATGAGGGACATTGTTCTCATATCCACTAGCTGAGGTGACAACTAAGTCTCCAGCTTTTTTTGTAGTTCAAGGCTTGTGATTTAAGCTGAGGATACAATATCAGACTGACAAGTCCAGGTAAAGTGGATGATCTGTAGGAAAATGCAAGAAACAAAACACCCCCTCAAGATACATAGTTATGTTCATGCAGTTAACAGATCTGAGATAAACGCTGTAATTTCTGCTCTTTCTTTCCCACGATGTAAAGTAGAACCTGGGACATGCTGCTTCCACCACAGGACCCATAGAAGTGTCTGTGCAAACTTTATGAAGACTCAACACTACCTTCCTGTTCAGCCTCACCTGGTAGCCACATCCACAGAGTCCACATCATTTCCATAGATCAGAGGGTTGAATTCTGTGGAGGGAGTAGACTGCAAATCATTCTGTGGTCTTCCCAGCAGCAGTGGCACCTCCTGCCCCTCTTGGAACTTCTCTAGATTAAGAATGGGCTGAGTATTCAGACTCATGCTGGCCAGTGCCTAACAAAGGACAACATTATGCACACATTCAGCAAGAAAAGTTACTCAAGGAAGAGAGAGATCAGAGCTACCCTGCCCTCTAGGCAATTGCAACATTGTGCATGCTCCATTACTTTGTCTTAAACCATCTCCTACGCTGAGTCACAAATATCTCCAGGCCCTCCTTTATGTGGATTGTCAAAATGATCTCCTCAATGCTGAAACAGTCCTGGAGCCAGCCAAGGGGTAGCACAAAAGTCTACTTTGCCAGATCATTCATGACATGAAAACAGATAGTCCAAATTGGACTACTAGTAGTATGGCACTGTGTACAACTTATTGTAGAGTTATTCCTATGTGTAATTTGAATACATCTTGGTACCTAGAGGCCTTGAAACTTGCCTTACAACTTGGCTTCAACCAGGGAGTTTGATATCCCAGGACAATGTGGAGACACCTTTACACAGGCATCTGCCTGTATCCCTGCAAACCTCCACTTCCCATCTGAATGAGGTCTTAATCTCTCCATAAAGCTACCATCCTCTTCAACCCTCGTAACATCTTCAAGGATATGCACTGGAGCAGCACAAGTGCTAAATCAGTCCTGGACACTCAGACCTAACGTAAGTCTTCCTCATTTCTCCCATTTGCCCACTGAGTCTTCATCTTTTTATTCCAAAAATAAATAAATATATAAAACAAAACAAAAACCAAAACTCCAAAGGAAAATGGTAAAATGGAAAATTGAGGGGAAAAGAATAAAATAAAGAACCTTGTTGTCAGGAGTGAGCAGCTGTTTCTGAGTGATTGCAGTCATGCTAACCAGACACTGGAGGCAAGATGGAAGATCATATGATAACACCAGCAGCCCATCAGAGCCAAGACGAACACATGACCACAGAGAAACAAATGGAAGGAAAAAAAAAAAATATATCTATTACTACCAAATATCACAAATGAGAGGAAATAAAAGGGACCACAAAATATGCACATCTTGGGAGAGAGGTCTAACTGCCCCACCCCCAAACGTTCATATCTGGCCACTTTGGAAAGTGGAAAGGCTGCTGTCCTTATTGATGCAGCTAAGAACTTTCTACTGCAGTTTAAAATCCTGAATTTTATTCATTGACACTACGACCCAAAGGCACACAAAAGTGTTAACCTTAGTGACATGGGCCACAATTTAGTCTTCTCTACTTTGTACAGCAACCAGTAGCGCTCCTTCTCTTTTGCCAATGGTCAACTCTTAATGATAATGCCTATAGGAATACATAGGGATGTAATATGAATTTGGGTGAACACTCTGAGAATTTTAAATGTGTCTTCAAGGAAATTGCAATTTGTTCTTCTGATACCCAACTTTGCCCTAGTGAGAGAGTTTTGCTGAATAGTGCCTGAAATTGCAAGGGGGTGAGGCAGAAGTGGGGGGAAGGTGGATCTAACAAAACTCCAAGCAACGCTTCGCTTCCATCTGTGCTGACAGCAGGTACAGGGGTATCATAGAGGTTACACACTTTGCTCTCCTGGTCTACGAGGAGAGAGAAAGAACAGAACTCATCACATTAGTAACACACTTTACCTTTAGATACTGCATGCAGCATGCATAAGGAAAACAGAAATAAAGAGATAAAACCTGCTTGACACAATCAGCCAGGATGACCCAAGCCGATTAATGGCTTAGCAGGACCTGAGAGGAGAGACTGAGACCTCACACACAGATCTGTGAATGGAGGGGAAACAAAGATGATCATAGCTTGATGGATCAAGTCAGAGTTTGAAGCCCACATGGCAAATGTAAAGGAGGAATCTGGAACTTTCTGCACCACCTGGAAACAAGTTAGCCCCAAACAATAGTAAAAAACAGAAACCATTTGTTGCGTCCAGGAGCATTTCACATTATCCCTCACCTGGCTAAGAAATTAACTGCAGTTATAAGCCTCAGTGACCACTCACTTCTCCAGATTAAGTCTCTCCATTAAGACAGAAAAGCAGCAACTGGATACCTACCACTTAACATCTGTATCAATTGATATTGCTTTTCAAGCTCAAAATGCTGTTGTATTCTAACATGGGGGATGTTCTAACTAACTACAGGATGTAGTCCTGTGCCTCCCCTACAAATGACAAAGGTGGAAGCAGCAGAGACAGCAAAAGATGAAACAGGTAACAAAAATTACAGTGAAGTCCTCTGGAGAAACTACAGAGAGATCTGAAACAAGATAAAAGTCTCAGATTTAGCTTAGTCAGGAGAAGACAATGTTGAAGTCATACAGCTCAGGGAGCTCAAAAGAAGGCACCCCTATAACGTTGTTTAATCAGCCACCCTGTTGATTAGCCCACCTCCACATTCAGAGAAGTAGACCTCTCCATGACTGACCAAGGGGCACCTTCTTGAACAAGAGTGTTCTAGTAGTCTGATACGTTTTCACATCCATCTGATGTGCCAGGATACACACCTGTTTTTAACACACTTTGCTTTGCATTTGCTGACTTGCATTCTTGTCCAGTATAGCAGAAGAGCTGTGCAAGACTACATCTTGCTAAGTTCTACTGAATCTGAGTCCTTTCCCCAAAGTGCTTATTACCTGTTTCAGATGCTTTTTCAGTTCTGAAGCTTCTGGTTCTGGCAGTGCTGGCAAAGATTCTGCATTTGTGGGAACGATCACCTGGAATTAAGCACAGCAACAGACTAAAAATTCGCCAGCTGTAGTCATTTCCAAAACAGAATCTCCTGAATCTCCACCACTCCAGAGACCGAGGAATAAAAGCATAAAGTAAAATAATTAATAAAAAAAACCCACAACACAACCCCCACACACAGACACCTGCATCAATACTTTGCTTTTCACTTCTTTATGGTTGTTATTGTTTACAATATCACAAACAACGGAGGAATTACTTTATCATTTACCACAAAAAAGAGAAGTTTGAATGAACCCACACTCATCCTTTGGAATTTCCATCAATTAGATGATGTTATAACACATTACCCTTGAAATAGCCTTGCTCATGCCCCAGTAGAAAGCGGGATACATAGTCCCATTTGAATCATGACAACCAATGCTGCTGGAAGGCTCTTATCATAGAATCATAGAATCATTGAGGTTGGAAAAGACCTCTAAGATCATCGAGTCCAACCGTCAACCCAACCCCACCATGCCCACTAAACCATGTCCCTGAGCGCCTCATCTACACGTCTTTTAAATACCTCCAGGGATGGGGACTCCACCACTTCCCTGGGCAGCCTGTTCCAATGTTTCACCACTCTTTCAGTAAAGAAATTTTTCCTTACATCCAATCTAAACCTCCCCTGCCGCAACTTGAGGCCATTTCCTCTCGTCCTGTCACTAGTTACTTCGGAGAAAAGACCAACACCCACCTCGCTACAACCTCCTTTCAGGTAGTTGTAGAGAGCGATGAGGTCTCCCCTCAGCCTCCTTTTCTCCAGACTAAACAACCCCAGTTCCCTCAGCCGCTCCTCATAAGACTTGTTCTCCAGACCCCTCACCAGCCTCGTTGCCCTTCTCTGGACACGCTCCAGCACCTCGATGTCCTTCTTGTAGTGAGGGGCCCAAAACTGAACACAGTATTCGAGGTGCGGCCTCACCAGGGCCGAGTACAGGGGCACGATCACTTCCCTCCTCCTGCTGGCCACACTAGTTCTGATACAGGCCAGGATGTCATTGGCCTTCTTGGCCGCCTGGGCACACTGCCGGCTCATGTTCAGCCGGCTGTCGACCAACACCCCCAGGTCCTTCTCTGCTGGGCAGCTTTCCAGCCACTCTTCCCCAAGCCTGTAGCACTGCATGGGGTTGTTGTGGCCAAAGTGCAGGACCCGGCACTTGTCCTTGTTGAACCTCATACAGTTGGCCTGGGCCCATCGATCCAGCCTGTCCAGGTCCCTCTGCAGAGCCTTCCTACCCTCGAGCAGATCAACACTCCCGCCCAGCTTGGTGTCATCTGCAAACTTACTGAGGGTGCACTCAATCCCCTCATCCAGATCATCAATAAAGATATTAAACAAGACCGGCCCCAGTACTGAGCCCTGGGGAACACCGCTCGTGACCGGCCGCCAACTGGATGTAACTCCATTCACCGATTGGTTATCAGATTGGTTTTCTTAGGTAGGGCTATAAGAGACAGGGTCACAATTACTCAGGAAGACAGCTTTATCATTTGTTTGAGGATTTATCTTCTAATGATATAGCCACATGGATTAACTGAAAAAGAATGCCTTGTGAGCAAAAGAAATGGGGAACTTGAGACACAACAAGGAACGGAATCCTAAAGTTTAAGGCGGGAGTGGCAAAGGCAGACTGAGGCCAGGCATTCTTAAATTCTCAGTGGGTACATTGATGAAAGTGCACAGTTCCCTGGAAACAAAGCCACAAGTCCTTATGGGCACCACTTACCCTATTGGTATCCAGGTCAATAAGCCATACATCATCAGGCATTTTGAAATCCAGTTTGTAAAGGAAGAAACTTGCTGGAACACCAATGATATAAGGTGTAGGGGCTAGAAGCAACTGAGAGAAAGAGAGACTTTAATAAGGACACGATATGCATTTGATATCACCATGTTCTTCCCAAATATTTATTTATTAACTACAGTATGTTTATAGCAGAGGAGACGACACACAAAGCATTGATAAATCAGTAATTAATTCCATACAATAGAAACATTTAAACAAAAAAGAAGAATAAAAGCTCCTGCTCAGAGAGCTTCAATTTTCATGGAGAAGAAAATAAATTTCCGCTTCCCGTATCACCTCCCAGGGATGTAATTTATATGGCTGCATGGCTCTCTGGAAAAAACTTAGCTAATCTAATAGTTTGCCACATCTATCATGGACCAAGAAAAAAGATGTTCAGAGTAAGAGCCTAACTAGAGAAGTAGCAAGTCACAGATGAATACACCCTCAGCTCAAACTGAGTCTGTGCCATTGTAAATATGGCTTTACCCTTGCAAGGGCTTCACCCTTACCCTTGCAATGGTAGTTTGGTTTCAAAACAATAACATCTCTAGGAAGCAGAAGAAACGGACGCATTTTTTCAAATGTACATGGAAAACCTAAAGGGAAATTCAGGTTGTTTCTGATAATGGAATCAGCAAAGGGAAAAGCTTTAAATCAGTAAGGCATGTAGCAGCTTGAGACCAGTGGCTTGGGAGGCTAATTTATTCTTTAAATCTAGAAGAGTTGGTCACCTCCAAGGGGCAGTACAAGAACAAACCTGCAGCATCAGTTGCAGGATAGCACTGAAGTAGTAAGATGGCCTGAATTCTATCTTTCCAAGCAAAATAATGAGCTCCTGCAGAGAGCTGACTATTGGTAAAACCCAGGGTCCCAGCTAAAGTAACTCAACACTTCATATTTCTGAGGAGAATAAATTGCAGTCAATAGTTTCTAAACGCTGAATCAAGAGCCCTCAAGTGTCCTTAAATATTACTCTGGACTCTCCCTAACAAACCTTAATACTCAGCTGGGGGGGGCGGTAAATACTCATCATAATATTGTGGATCTATGGCCTTTCAGTCCATTGCTTGTGAACTGCTGTGAACTACTGCTTTGAAGCATACTATTCACTAAGCATGCTTTGAAGATATCCTAAATAAGTGGTGTTACCTACGATTTAAATAGTGCTGCTCAAAGAACGTTCTTTGCAAGGCAGACTTTGCTACAATCCCTAAGAAAACAGCAGGGAAGGAAATAAGGACTACTCTTATATGAGTTTCAGACATTACAGAAACATCCTTTGGAAAAGACCAATAAAGGAAAAATATATACCTGTTCTGCAGAGGCCATGCAGGTGGGAAGCAGAGGGATCACTGGGAACATGTACTCTAATGGGTAGATCATAGCCACAAAGGCCATCACAGACATTGAGAGCGCATTATAATCTCGGGACTGCAATACAACCTGCAACCAAAGAAACTCACATTAGCACTGCAGCAACCATTCCCTTCTAATACTCCCCCCAGGGGTATACAAAGATCACAGCCTGCAGGCCTCTGATTTGATGGCTGTGAACTGGATGACCCTCCATTAATCTGTCTGAAAACAAGTTTCAGGTGTTTTTTTTGAGTGAGAACAAAACTTTTCAAAACGGGAACCTCAGAAGGAGCTATTCCTTCCCCCCACAGACAAACTGATTCCAGGCAGTGCAGGAGACAGCTGTTCTACACGTCCAGCCTACCCTGGTTTTGAAGAGGGCAGAGCGTCCTACATATCTCTCAAAGATCAACTCTTCCCTTCTTACCTTGTGCTCCAGAAGGATGCAGGTCAGCACCTGCAGGCAGGCATCCACTCCCAACAACTCCAAAGGCAGATGTAATGGAAAATCCACCAAGGTGAAGCGGGATGGATCAGGAAGAGCAAAGGTCAAAGCTGGCTGCAACTCATGGGGCAAGACTTCCACATCCACCCGCTTCTGACCAGCAACAGGCATCGGTGAACGCAGCAGCCGGTATATCCAGGCCTCAATCTCCCGCAAGTCGTGTAGCAATGCACTAGACTTTTCTTCCACCAGGAGGGAGCCTGTGAAAATCCGCCACATTGTATCCCTGTACAGGGAGAACAACAAGGTTAATACTCCAAGAGCTTCACGTGACAGCCATTCCACAAGGCTCTTCCAGGGAAAGGGCAGATCCACTGAGAATTAAAAGATGCAGCTAACAAACATTTGGTCACACATGAGAATGGAAGGTAGGGATTTAAGCCTACTGAAACAACCACTGTGGGGAAGTATAAATCTTTCTGTGGCAGGAATCAACACAAGTATGTCACTTCCACCTGAGAGTTAATTCATTCTTTTAAAGGGTTCAGTTAGGTCCAGATCTCTGAAGATCTCTCATCGCCCTGGTGCTTGAAATTCAGCATGCACATAGGATACTCTCGTATCTCGTCCAGAATTGTGGCAGACTTATTGACTGTAAGATTCTGCTTCCAGCAGTCCTACAAACCTTTGCAAGAATAGGAACTAAACCCAAGATAACAAAAATATGCCACACCAAGATCTCCCAGATGTTTTGGCATGATAAAATACTCTTTTTCACCCTATCCTAAATTGCATTGTATCATTCTTAAGAGCGGACTAACCCATGGCAGAAGTGGATGCATTTCAGCTGAGAATATAAATTTCTGAAAGCTGTCTAGAAAGTATTTTGGGTACCTCAGCAAAATAAGCAGCAATTCTTCCATGCCCTAAGCTAGCAATCTACAAACTTGTAGCTCACAGACGGACTGGCCAAAATGCATTTACAGCATTGCTCAGGGCCTTCAGAGCTTCAAAACTTGAAACTGGGTCTGACAAGGGAAGCAAAGTGGCTTGCCTACTTCAGCCCTTAATGTTGTAGCACAGTGAAGGCTGCAAACCTGCTGCAGCCATTCTGCAAAAAACTTCAGCCTGGTAAGTATCTTCAGCTACTATAGCAGATCCCTTAGAATGGTATGGGTTCAAATTAGAGGTTCTACCTTACAGTTCACAACTTAAAAAAATTAAGAAAAAGAAAAAAAGATTGTAACACTGAAGGCTTCAGAAAGGAAGAAAAGTTAGAGAAATTTGGAGGGGTCAAAAGAAGGGCAATTTGAGATTATGCTGAGTAAGTGATACACCTCTCAGGACCTGTGATGCTTCTCATCCTCCACTCTTCCTTCAGCTGCTAGTAATGCACAGGACATTAGGTTGTTAACAGGCATGCTCAGCCTTTTGCAAGCCGTAAGGATTCAGTTTCACCTTTATTCTGCCACCACTTCAAAACTGTTCTACTTTTCCAGGTCACGGCTTGCAAACCACATGGTAATTCAAACCTGCTGCTTTACTTTTACCAGAGATGTATGCTCAGCATTCCTTCTCTTGCCCTCCTCATCTGTCACTCAGTTCTTCTCTTTAAGAATTATGTCCAACAAGAGCAAATTTTTCAAATACCACATGCCATTCAAACACTGGAATACTTTAGCACCCCTTTCAAAAGTCAGATGAGCTCACAGAGTTGAGGAGAATCATGAAATTTAGCTTTTTTCTGCCTCAGTAATTATCAGACTAAACCAAGTGACAAAATAAGCTCCCTTAATACATACTTCCACTGGAGGGGGGGGGTGGAAGTTTTGTTCTGACAGAATAATTTTTTCCCCAACAGTCAGTGGATTCAGGTGATAAATCTGCTAATGCAGGAGTCAGTCATAAGCTCAGGACACTCTCCTAGAACTATTCCAGGGCAGTAACCCAAGAAGTAGGCTACTGCTCTGTGAACGGAACAGACTTCCCCTTTCATGCAAAATGTAAAGAGCTTATAAAGATGAAAATGATAGATGTCCTGTCATTTTTTGCTTTTGACAAGTTTAATTTGGAGTGTACCAAGCTACTTAGCTCACACTATGAGCTATCTCACAGTCCCATCACTCTTACTATTGAGATAATGCCCTCCTTTCTCCAGAGATTCATTTTATATTTTCTCTTTTCATTTAGCATATTGGAAAGGAAAATATCATCCTGAAATGTAGGTGTCAGGCACAATAGCACAGATAAACATCCATGACTGATACACATAAAGACATTGTTCCTTTTGTACCCTACAGTGCAACAGCTTTTGTTAGATACCCAACATTATAATAGCAGATATGTAAGATTACTACATTACATTAAAAATACACCAAGTTCCTGTTAATTTGCTGTTACCAACCCCCATTCCCACATGCTTCCTAGACAACTCCTTTGTTTTCCACGTCTCCTCCCTCTCCCCTTCAAATACTGTACTTTGATCTCTTTCAGCCGTTCCTGCTTCTCTAGTCTTTTTTCTCCCACACCGAAGTTCAGATTGTTTCATAAGCTCATTAAGCACACTTTCATCATTTCCCTCTTGCCCCAAGTGGAAATTCTCTCTGTTATTTCTTGGCTGTTTCTAATTTGCCAGAGAATCAGTCCTGACATACACTGCCATGGAGCTTATATGCCAAAGCAACAATAACAGCATCAGTGCTCAGCTTCAGAAAAGATCGTGCTCCGTCAGTTGTTAGCAGGACAGTGCCTCCTTAGGCATATCAAAAATGAAAATCATACCAGGTTACAGAATAAGACAGAGAAGTTTTAAAGAAATCATCACAAAATTTTCCTTTTCCTACTGTGATCGTGGGTTAAAACAGCAAAAAGGTCAGCCATTGGTGTTTGGCTCCTTCTGCAACCACAGCTGCAGCCACAATTTGCTATGCAGACAATTGCAAGCCCTGGACACAAACAGTGGGAGGAAAAAGTTCTTTCTTCCCCCACAACATACCTCTGCACCCCACGAGGAATCCCCAACTTCTTGCCCAGCAATCTCTCACTACAGCAGTCCACAAGTCTCTTGAGGGTGTACAGACACTCACGAAAGGTGGAAAAGAAGGGATAATGACTAAGGATGCACAGAGAAGTCAGAGTGCTGTTCCGAGAGCGATGGCTGCCTTTGGCCAGACGCTTACTGCGCGGTGATCGATTCACATCTGGGGTAGACTCTGTACTTGGAGCCTGCAGTGAAGAACCGCTCTCCGAACTCTCAGTGCCCACTTCCTCTTGGGGTGCAGATGCATCCCCAGATTTGGGGATTTTCTGTCCCTCCCGAGCTCGATGCCCCCCTGTGCCTTCTCCCTTCTCCTTGGGTACTCGCTTCTGGAAGGAGCGGTAGAAGTTGACACAGATTCCATAGCGAATGACACCTGTATCCTTGTCTGTGAGTGTGAAGACAAAGGAAGTGTCATCACGGAAGCTCATGCGTTTTTGCCGCACGCTCAGGCATCCTTCTGGCTGGCAGAAGAATACAACGTCAGGTGGTAGAGGAAAGTCCACATGGTCTTCTAGAGGGTAACGTCGCAGCAGTTCAGGAGTCTGAGCAACACTATCACTACTTGGCTGCCTACAAAAAAAGCAAACAGAAAAAACATACATAGTTGACTAATGCCAATAAAAATCTTTGGTATCTCCCTACTAAGATGTCAGGAGCCTGTGGGCTCAGCTTCACCTTTGTTTCTTCTCTCTGCTACTACCCAGGGAAAGTGCAGCTTCTCAGTCACTAGCCACAATGCTCAATCACTAGCACAAGGCCACAAATGCAGAATGGTTAAATAAAAAAGTCTATACCATCATTATCAAGGCCCAACAAGGAGCCTGTTCAAATTTGACCGAGAAAAGAATTTTCAGGAGTATGTTTTTCCCAGGAGAACATCGTATTGTCATGTTTCCCTGACTTTGATTTCCAAAATGAATTTAACCGCACAGGTCTCTGGGCAACACTTGGGTAGGAAATACACTGTCCCTCTCCAAATATAGTCAGATGAAAACCCCCTGGATTTCAGCCATTTATGAACAAGATGAAAAATTAAATGAGAAAATCCAGTATCAATTCCTAACTGGGAAAAACAAGAATTTACTAGGAAAGAACTCAGACAAAGGGTGGAATGATACAGACCTCATCCTGTAAAATTTTCATTAAAAAGTTCTAGCAACCATAGATACATATATTTCTGCGTTTGATTTTCAAGTTGGATTTGAAGCGTAAGTTACTATAAAAGCTGGGTAGTAACATGCAGACCTATTTAACACTGTGGCTCACCAACCTTTGTACCACAAATCACTAATGGAACACAAAAACAGAAAGGCAATACTGTTTATTCCTAATTTTCCACCAGAAGAACAGATTCTTTCAAGGTATTAACTATTTTCCTACCACTACTTTTCCATGAAAGTTACTGAAAAACTGCGGGAGAAATAGTATGAGATCCACATAGTGAAGGAAAAAAATATGTCCCCAGAAAAAACCTCTCTTTGGTTTAACTCCTTTGCTTAAAGTCTGATCTCTCACCATTTTCTAAAGTAATTGGCATTTCGCATCATGTTTACTAAATGGGATGTAGGAGACCTGGCTCCACCATCACTCTCCTATGGGATCTCATACAAGACATTTTCTCACCTTGATACTTTAGATTTGCCCATTTCAAAATACGAATGACACTTGCTTTTCTCTCATCTGAGAGGTGAGAAAACCCAAACAAGTAGTAACAGAATATTTGTAATTTACAAAAGAAAATCACTGGTGTAAATAGCTCTGCTGACTAATTCTCCTCAACTAATACTTTATTAAAGAAAAAGTAAAAATGCTTTAATAATAAAGCATAAATTGGTAACAAAATTTATACTGCCTGTACAGTTAAGTACTGAAATACTGTACTGAAAAGTAAGTACTGAAAAAAAAAAAGAAACCCTAAAAAGCTTTTATATATTAGTGGACACAACTAATGCATCATCTGCTGAAGAAGAAATGTCAAATAATGCTGGTACTGTTTAGAGAGTCTATTTGGCAATAAATGGTTAAAAAAAAAGTCATCAACAGAGTACCAGTGAATATATCATCAGTTCATGCCTTTGCAGTAATATTAGCTACAAAGACGGAGTCTTCTCAGACATCTAGAAAATCTGCATCTAATAAAAGGGAACACTTCCAAAAGGCATTACTATTTGTGCACGGTGGATAACAAGATGTAATGGTAAAGGCCACATGGAGCTCTAAGGACTTTGCAGTAGAAGCTACTTCAGTCAGCTCCATCTCTTATCATAGGCATTTGTTGAAGTGCCTAATGAGACAACAGACCTCTGAGCATTAGCAATCTAGCTACCGCTGCCCAGCAAAAAGCAAGAGAACCGTAGGAGTCCAGAAGTCATGCTAGCAAGTTTCTAAGTGAGAACATCAGACACTAAGCATCACTGGGGGAGGCAGTTAACATTTCTTCCTCCTTCTTTTCCTAGTCGGTGACACAGATATGGAAAACTCGGTTATTTTTCTACAGACAATAAGAAGTAATTAAACTATTAAATTATTCTGTTCATAAAATACAATAATAAAAATAATTATTACTTAGGATTATGTCATTTCCTCCACTTAGCCTATTTAAATATTGCACTCAAAGTATTCTGAAAAGAAAGCAGGAGGTAAAGCAACAGGCTGATGCACATAAACCACTGATATTTAGAAATGAAAGTAAAATAGACTTTGGAATACACCCATTAAATAGACTGGCAGAAAGTTAGTGCGTAAACTTTGAATAAAGAAAAATAACATTTACTGAGCACCTGTGTATTTGACAAACAACATACACATCAACCCCACATTTCATATACGCTTTAAGTAAATAAGCATAACATTTTATCTATTGACAGTTAACAAGACTTTAAAAAAAGAAAGCATTCATGTCATTCCTATGAGGATAAATGAGTATTAGAGGGAAAAACAGCCAAGTAAGGCAAGTTCCAGATTTTTTTTTTTTTTTAAACTGAGTTTACAGACTACACTTCAAAAGCTAGAAAAGTAACCCCAAACTAGTATTTTACTTGCATGTGGCTTTCAGCATGTTCATGTGAATCCCTCTATGCTGATGCCAGTAGAAGCAAAGAAGTTCAGACACACAGGCTACCAGTCAGTCATATATAAATTGGCTTTTCTTAGTCACTCTTTGCAGACCCTTGAAAAGGAGTCTAAAGACCACAAGTTAAAAAACTTTGGCTGCACTAGTATCTTTCAAAAAGTGCTCTGGCCCAAGCAGATGCTCCCAATACGATAGCATTCTGCATGCATTCCAGACAGCACTTCCTCAGCACCAAGCAAAGCTTCATCAATGGATGCTAGGCTATTTATCCCCGCTCTACTGCCCATACAAAAGCACTGCTGAGACTTTTTTACATTACCTGGCTCCAATGATCACAAGATAGTCAAGTAACCGAGGACAGATTTTCTTTTTCTGCACCATTGTCCTTGACGCCCCTCCCTATGTCATCTCAGTGAATTTCTGTTCATCGATCCAGTAGTCAGTTATCCAGTCAGCCGTGATTGACTGCCTTGGGGAACAGAAACTGCTTGGAACTGTCTGGCAAGTCCAACCTATGATCAAGAAAAGCAAGAGTGTCAAAGGCACAATCGGGAATACAAAATACATATAAGCAACTTCATGACCTTAATTACATTCCCAAAAAGCCTCAGTGTTCTGTGCAGTCATGGCCATCCACGGATCTCTCTCTTCATGAGTATAAAACCACAACCACATGCCCACAAAAGCACAGAGCTGAAAAACACACAAAAAAGTACACAAGGATCTCAAGAAAGACCACAGACAAAGAAGCATATCACTGGCAAAGAGCTATTCATGAAATGGTTCGAGGCAAAAGTATTGTTTAGGCAAATCCCTGGGATTTCTACAGTGCTTGGGAAAGGAGCTTTAATTGGCAATTCTGTACAGTTAAACGTGACTGAAGAAAAAAATGCAACCTGAACTTTAGCTGTCCGATAAACAGAATAACTAAAGAAGGGGTAATATCAAGAGAAGTCCAATTTGATATAGAATCATAGAATCGTTTAGGTTGGAAAAGACCTTTAAGATCATCAAGTCCAACCATTAACCTAGCACTGGCAAGTCTACCACTAAACCATGTCCCTAATCACCACATCTACACGTCTTTTAAATACCTCCAGGGATAGTGACTCAACCACTTCCCTGGGCAGCC